CATATGGCCCTAAACAACTCCTGGTATTTCATGAGTGCTCTCGAAAACTTAGCCTTAGAGGTTCTCATAGAAGCGGCCCCACTTCACACTCATATAGGTAACTTCGATCTTATTAAGAGTATCCTACTATACCCCACTTGAATTTTTAAGGTATAAGAGTCCTTAAAAGCATATCTTATCCTAATCATCATTGTAGGTCGCACTGTCTTATTATAGAAATGGGTTGAAGATTAAATCTTCCCAATGTTTTTGGTGAGCCATTCAAAATTTTTGTTGTCCCTTTGAACCTAGATATTTTGTGATCTCCAGTCAACTAGGTTGTGTTTCCATTAAGATGACTCGTTAGTTTTCGGCTTTAATCCCATTCCCCTCGATGAACTATACACTTGCTCTCTTGTCAAACCTTTTATAAACGGATCCGCTAAATTATCTTTTGACCTGATATAATCTATTGAGATTATCCCACTTAAGAGCAATTGTCTAACGGTATTATGTCATTGATGTATATGTCGAGACTTACCGTTATACATATTACTTTGTGCCCTTCCAATTGCTGATTGACTATCACAATGTATACATATAGAGGGCACGGGTTTAGGCCAGTATGGAATATCTTCAAAAAAATTATGAAACCACTCATTTTCTTCACCAGTTTTATCCAAAGCAATAAATTCATATTCCATAGTGGATTTGGCAATACAAGTTTGTTTCGAAGATTTCCAAGATATGACACCTCCTCCAATAGTAAAAACATAGCGACTGGTGGATTTAGAATCCTCCGTATCTGATATCCATTAGCATCACTATATCCTTCAAGTACTGCTGGATATCTAAAAAAATGCAATCCATAACTTATGGTATATCTTAAATATCTTAGAATCCTGATTATTGCAGTCCAATGGTTCTTTCCTGGATTACTTGTATATATACTCAATTTATTAACTGAGTATGCTATGTCTGGTTGTGTGCAATTTATCAAATACATTAAGCTTCCTATAATGCGATAATACTCAAGTTGTGATATGCTAGGACCAATATTTTTCGATAAATGAAGATTTACATCAATAGGAGTCTTTACAAGACTACTATATTATTTATTAAACTTTTCTAATATTTTCTCAATAAAATGAAATTGAGATAATACTAAACCATCTAATATTTTAGAAATCTTGATTCCTAGTATGACTTCAGCTATGCTTAAATCTTTCATATCGAAATTTTTGGTCAACATCTTTTTAATAGTTTTGATTATAACATCATTATTATCCATTATTAGCATATCATCCACATATAGGCACACAATGACATATCAATTTTGAGTTTTTTTCACATAAACACATTCATCACAATCATTAATTCTAAAATCATTTGATAACATCACTTTGTCAAATTTTTCATGCCATTGTTTAGGTGCTTGTTTTAATCCATATAAGGATTTTACAAGTTTGCACACTTTCTTTTCTTTTCCTGGAATAATAAAACCTTCAGGTTGTTTTATATAGATTTTTTCCTCTAATTCACCATTCAAGAATGCAGTCTTAACATCCATTTGATGTATTTCTAAATTTTACAATGCCACAATAGCCAGTAATAATCTAATGGATGTTATTATTGTGACTGGTGAATATGTATCAAAATAATCCAAGCCTTCTTCTTGCCTCTATCCCTTAGCAACAAGCCTAACTTTATATTTATCTATTGAACCATTAGGCTTCATTTTCTTCTTGAAAATCCACTTATACCCTAAAGGTTTAGTACCAGAAAGAAGATCCATCAACTTCCAAGTATGATTTTGCATTATGGATTCAATTTCACTATTTATGGCTTCTTTCCATAAAAGAGCTTCAAGAGAAGACATAGCTTCCTTATAGTTTTGTGGCTCATTCTCTAATATATATGTCAGAAAAACATGACCAAATGACTTAGACGTTCTAACTCTTTTGCTACGTCTAGATCATTCCTTATTTTCATCATCTATAGACTCTTGGTCTATATTCTCTTGTATATTGCTATTAACAATATCATGATTTCTTTTTAAAGGATTTTTACAAAGAAATATATCCGCAAAGAAACAAGCATTCCTTGACTCAATAATTGTATTGACATGGATGTCAGGAATGTCTGATTTATGCACAAGAAAACGATATGCACTGCTATTTTGTACATAGCTTATGAAAATACAATCAAAGGTTTTTGGTCCTATCTTAACTTTCTTAGGAGTAGGAACCGCAACCTTAGTTGGACACCCCCACACTTTTAAGAATTTATATGAAGATTTTTTACCTTTTCATAATTCATAAAGTGTCACATTTGTTTTCTTTTGAGGTATTTTGTTGAGAACATAATTAGAAGTAAGCAAAACTTCCCCCCACAAATTCTGTGTTAAACCATAACTTATCAACATAGCATTCATCATTCTTTTAAGGTACGGTTTTTGCGTTCAGCAACACCGTTCTGTTTAGGTGAATAAGGAGCAGTAATTTAGTGAATAATACCATGTTCTAAGCAAATGTCAGCGAATGGTGCTTCGTATTCACCACATCTATCACTTCTAGCCACCTTTATCTTCTTACCAAGTTGATTCTCAACCTCATTCTTGTAATGTTTAAACATTTCCAATGCTTCATCTTTACTTCATAACAAGTATACATAACAGTATCTTGTGCAATCATCAATAAAAGTAATGAAATATTTTTTCTCTCCTCTGGTTGGCACATATTTAAAGTCACAGATATCATTGTGAATTAATGCTAGAGGTTCAATACTTCACTCTTTTTATTCTTCTATCCAGTTTCCACTACGTTCACCTTTGACACCATTGAAGAATTCCCGGCTTTCTTTTCAGATGTGCGGTTATCTTCTTCAATTCTCAGCCTAACAATCAGGTCTTCGAGCCCCATTTCCTTGCGCTTATGCTTCAAGTAGTTTTTGAAATCTTTCCAAGTAGGTGGTAGCTTTTCAATGATTGAAGCTACTTGAAAATATTCACTTAAAGTCATCTTCTCAGCATGTATCTCATGTAGGATTAGCTGAAACTCTTGCATTTGGCTCATGACTGTTTTGGAGTCTATTATTTTGAAGTCCAAAAATCGTCCGACCACAAACTTCTTCAAGCCAGCATCCTCAATTTTATATTTCTTGTCGAGTGACTCCCATAGCTTTTTAGCAGTGTTCATTGGACTATACACATTATATAGAATGTTGTCCAATCCATTGAGGATGTAGTTCCTGCATAGAAAGTCTTTATGTTTCCATGCATCAACAGCACCAAGCTTTGTAATGTCAGTTTCTCCCTCTTCTAGCACTAAGGCAGTTTTAGCTAGGTACTTGCTCAGATTTAGAGTTGTAAGGTAGAACATCATTTTCTGTTGCCACCTTTTAAACTCCGCCTCATTAATTTTTTCTAGCTTTTCCCCATGACTGACGAACATTTGGCATAGTAATATTTGTACTTGCCATTCGTCTAATATATATTAAATATACAAACCACAATTAAATTTACAGAAATAAAAATAACAACAATATTTAAATAATTAAACTATAGTATAAGCAGGTTATGTCTTAAGATTGTCTTTCAAAAAATGGTCTAAGTATACCATACACTATAGTATTACTATTTAAATATTATGCATAAATATAATGTGTGTATATATATAATTATTATTATAAATAATAATAATTATATAATATCTTATAAAATAAAAGAATATATATATGGTTTAATTGTTTAGGATGAGTATGGAGGGATGGGTATATATATATATTGATATATATGTATATATATGATTTAAATAATCAAAGATTATTATGGGTGGTATTATACATAGTTATATAATATATAATATATGTGTATGTATATATATATCATTTAAGATGATTAATACTCCCTTTGTTCCAATTTAGATGTCGCTTTTGGGGAGTAGGAATTTTTAAGGAAACATGTGGGGCATGCCTTGTCTCCTTGGAAAGTTACTAATTTGCCCTTATATTAAAGTTTGAAATTTTAAACTCCAAAGACATATATGAAAAGATGTAAAATATATTGTTTGAAAAAGGAAAGTAGACAACTATTTTGGGACAGACCAAAAAGGAAAATATGACATTTTTTGTTGGGACAGAGAGAGTATTAATTATTCTTATTTTGTATATCTGGATAGGCTAGTTATTAAAGTAATGTTATGCTTATGAAATGTTTATGTGTGATTTAGTTCATCGTTAAGTTTAAAGTTCGTACATGACTGAATTGTTGAATTGTAGACATGTTACCAAAGCTTAAATATATGGCTTAAATATTTGTATGAATAAAACAAATACATAGGAAGTATGGATGAGTTGCTAATTAAAAATATAAATATATATACTTAATAAGGCATGATTGAGTTGTCAATATATGGTTATTGTATGTAAAGATTGGATTAAAATTAGATATCCTTAAATTAGAATAATCTAATACTTACAAGTTAATGTATTATTTTATATATATTAATAAAATAATATTGGTGGAGACATGAATGATTTGTCAAAGCTTATACATGAGTTATGTGATTTAAATAATTAAAATTATTATTAGGTATGAAATTAAATAAAATATTTATTTAAATATAATTTATTGTTTAAATGATTAATTATTTGTCTAGGATGGGTTAAAAGAAATGATGGATTGATGGTTTATGATTATAATTTAATTATTGATAATGATTTTGAAATTAATAGATCCCACTGTTTTATTTATATATAATTATTTATATATATTATTTATATATTCATGTGCATCATTGTGTTTATTAAAGATAAAAATTCTGCTAGGTTTGGTTTTATTTATATATAATTATTTATATATGCATGTGCATCATTGTGTTTATTAAAGATAAAAATTCTACTAGGTTTGGTTTTGATTAAACTTTACTATGTATATCATTGTTTATACAAACCCAAATCTTATATATATATATATATATATATATATATATATATATATATATATTTGTTTTTTTTGTTTTTCTAAGGTAAAGAAATCTTATGTTTTTCGAATCATGAAAAAACGAATTGTGTTCTAGGGCTCCTGTCGCTCCTCGAATGCTCGAAGACGAAGGATAAGATTTGGATTTGTGTTTGGGAGATTAGCTTCAGTTTCATCAGGAGCAGCGCCGAAAAGATTACAAGTTAGTAACTCATCCAATAATTCCAATTTATGGTAATGGGTTCCTTTTTCGCTTTTTCCAATCTGAATTTTGATTTTTTTTTTTTCTTGATTCCGCGTGTTTATGGAATCTTTTATATCCTTTTTGATCAATTTGACATATAAGCTTTCATTCTTCATTTTACTCGTCTCCTGTGTTACATTATAGAACTCTCAATGCATTGGTTCATGATCATGCTCTTGGTGTTGTACTTTTTACAGTATTGGCTCAATGTATTAGTTCAGGACTGTTTAATTATTTCATTAGTATCCTGACTTGAGTCTAGTGTTCATAAATCAAATACCATGGCAGTTTAATGAAATTTTTGTGGTGTATGAATTTTCAAAGTCAGAAAGAATGAAACCCTTAGCTTATATATTAGTATGCAGAAGTAATCTGACTTCTGAATATTCCAGTTATGTTGCATATGTTAATAGAAAATGTATCTTCTTAGATTTCTAGATTCACATGACTAAATGATGTGAATCTGGGACTATTTTGGCTTTATCTCTATCTTTTTCTCTATGTGGGTGGGTGGATTTTGTTTGGGGAGGTCATTTGCTTTTATTATCAATTGAGGCCAGCATTGCTTCTTTTGGGACTGATTTCTACATATAGGATGCATCGAATTAATGGAAACAAAGAATCCAAGAATGATTATTCTATTTTTACATATTACAAGCACCTGCACTCCAAAGAATTAAAATTAAAGGTGACAACAGGGATGATAAACTACCTTTCTTTGCTTAGAACCATTATTCATCTTGATGTTCTAGATAACGTGTAATTTAGCTTAGAACCATTAGTGATCTTGATGTTGTGGATAACATGTAAGTTTTTGTAGTGATCGACTCCAAAAGAAAGATAGAGTCCAACAAGGTCAGCTTTCAAAAAGAATAGAAACACTTTCATAAATTTTTACGTCCATCATTAATTGCCTAATTAGGTTGATTGTAAAGTCTGGTAGACGGAATCGTCAAGTATATCATTTTCCCCGGATAACTACAACATTGCTTTTTGGATAGAGCATTCGCCAGTTCTTGCACAAGAAGCAACAATTGTGCAAATTATGCTTCCACCGCCACAACACTGACGACCCACCTGATTCACATTCCGAGCCACCCATAACAACCCCCAACTCAAACCCACCGCCTGAGTTAGAAATTGGTTCAGGTCCCGAGTTGTCAACTGCAACGCCGGACTCATCAATCACTGCATTCACCGCTTCGAAGCGGTGGATGGACATATTTAAGAAGAGCGATAGAAAAGACTCACACAGCAACAACAATGATGATAAGAATAAAGACAAGAAGAAAGAGAGGAAGAGCGTTGGTGGTGGCAAGGGAGGAGCGAGCTTGGCGGAGCTGAATATAAATATATGGCCTTTCTCATCCGCCAGGAACGGCGGTGATAGGCCAAGAATGGTGGCTGGGTCGGCGGCAACTCGGAAGGTGAGTAGTGCGCCGTGTTCTCGGAGCAACTCAGCGGGTGAGTCCAAGTCAAGGAAGTGGCCGAGTAGCCCGAGTAAGGTGGGGTCCACTTGGGCCGGAGTAGCCCAGTTTAGCAGGTCCGGCGAGGAGGTTCGGCTGGAAGGAGCTTCTAGCCTGTGATCCGAAATGCGGAAAAGGGGTCAGAAGAGAAGTAAACGAAACCCGCCAGATTAAATCTGCCATATCCGGCGGTGGCGGTGGGGCTAAAGCTAGAGTTTTGAATTTGAATCCGACTTGTATTGGGTATCGGCACCATTTGAGTTGTAGAAGTGATGGGAACAGTGCCGTTAGGGTTGTTGCAGCTCCCGGTGGCGGTAGTGGTGATGGACACATCGGCGGAGGTGGTGTCTCCGGCGATGTTGGACGTGGTGGTGGTAATTTGTTTAGCCTGCGCAGCCTCTTCACTAAGAAAGTGTATTAGTAACCACTGCCATCTAATCTCTTTTAAATGATTAATTTTATTTGTAATTTTTAACTTTTTTCCGTTTCTTCTACTTTCGATTCCTTTGTGCAATACAGAATTCGACTAGTTTATTTATTTACCTCATGTAAAATTAGTAAAGTAATTAAAGAGGAAGGTAGCTTTCTAGCTCTTTGAAACTTTAGTTCTACTTTTTATTGTCTCTCTCTCATTCAAAAGCTATTCCAATTTACTCTTGATTTTTTGAGAAGTGATACGTCTTCCGATCTCAATTGATGACTCATTCTCCGAATATAACGTGGTTGGGAATGAGTCGAAAAGAAAGAGATATTTACGGGATTTTGTTTTAAGAGTTTCAATGTCATCCAACCACATTGTATTCAGAGGACGAGTCTTCAATTTTAATCGGAAGACCTTTAATTTCTCTTTTTTTATATTATGTTATTAACATTTGGAAAATAAATAATATCTTCCAAATTTCCAGTAGCCTTTTCACTCTTCAGTTAGCCTATTTATTAGAATTTTATGTCCAAATAGCATTGTTGCCTAGAATTTCAGGCCTTGTTGGGTGGTGCCCATATCCCCCGGGCTAAAAGCTTGAAGTCCGTATCCTCTGTAGAACAGTATGCTTGGTATATTGAATGGATGGTCAGGAGAGTGAATAATTATCTTGGCTGTCCATGCTTTTGATATAACACCAAAAGTTTGTTACCCATCAAAATATTAGCAGTTTGGATTAGGTCAGAACAAGTGCCGTACTAAATCGTCCACATTACACAATGATGAGGACCATCGGGAAAAAAAAAAAAATTGTTTGCCTAACCGCAGAGTGTATATGAACTTCAATATATCGTGTAAATAATAAATCCTTCTATTTTGAGATAAATTAAACACACTTTCTGAACTAACACCAAGTCCATTGTGCCAAGGAATTGTGTATTAGTTGTATGGGTAAAAGTTTAGGTTCATGGAGGTGGTGTTTTGGTAATAGATGAATTAAGTTGATGGAACTGGTGATGGTAGTGTTCTGTTGTAGAAAGAAAGTGTGGATAGCGTCAGATTATTAATGTGTGGAGTTGGTCATTTTAGTTCAAGAGATAGTAAGGATGACAAAGCGTAGTAGATATGCGGTGGTGTGGACCAAATTAAGCCATCGACAAGATCGGTTTTTTTCTTTTTCTTATGTAAAGCCTTTAAAAATTACTACGAGGGATTGCTGTTCTTCACAAAAAAATGTAGTGGTCCTAGACCATTGCATTTCCAGATTGCCACTCCAGCAATGTGGTCTAATTCTCACAGATATTTTCACCAGAAAATGAGTGTTATTACTTTTTTTTTGGAAGGACTAAATTATAATTCATTACCACCAGTTTCTTAGGCATGGATTAAACAGTATGATCATAAAATATTAAAATAAAAATAAATTGGAGATTGCATCTACAAGAAAATCGGCTTACATGTGTTATACAATTAGTCTCTCAACTTCAATAATAAGAAGTAAAATTTCTTTTACTCTTTTCGGGGCTTGGATTTAAATCTCTGCAAACAATTACTCAATTCCCTGGAACAGGAGATCCATAAGAAGCTCAAGGACAGAACTGGGAGGAGTGTATCCTACAGAAATACACAGCACACAATTTACACTACATGGTCTCTCACATGCAAGCACACAACTCACAGACACTAACAGAACCTTCACATACACACTTGCACAATACATGCAATGACACAAATGCACAATACACTCACATAATAAGGACACAACCTGTGCATGATGTCCTTATTGACTGACAATCAAAATCCTGGAAGCTGGACTGACTTGAAAATCTATTCTACCTTCCATCATTCTTTTTGGCCTCCACCCAGGCGTTAACCATCCTCTTTGGTTTGAGTAACTCAGACCAAAGAATTCTTCCTTAAATCTACTTGCAAATGTTTTCTCTATTTGTGAGGTTGGCAATTGCATCTACCAAAATAATAAGTAAATAAAAAATGAGAGAATTAAACTAGAACAATCCTGATTGTAGACCAAGAAGCTGTGACTGAGTATTGTTTGTTAGGAAGTTGGATCCAAGAGGACATAGAAGAAAAGGAAAAGAACTTAAAGTTGGTTAATGCACTCCACATAACATACATCAATTTATCAAAATCAAGTGTGCCTGGCCGCTCTATTGAGTCTCCTCTTGGAGTTGGCCCTCACCAATGGTTTAGTATAACAGGTGCACCATTGGCTGACAGGTGTTATACAATTAGTTTCTCAACTTCAATAATAAGGGCTAATAAGACTTTTTTATTCTTAAAAATATAAGTACAATAATAAAGGTGAATGTTTGGCCAGGTTGCATCTGAGTGTATTTTACATTATAGGATGGTATGCTTGGAAGACCACCCTTGTGTTGTAACTTTACATGCTAATTCCCAGGTTCTCTGTTTTGAGAATTCCTGGACTTGTTATGGATGTAAGATTGATGACGATTGTATTCTTCACCACTTCTGATGCTCATCAAATATATAGGATGAAGAACAACTAGTTTACTCACCATTATGTGAAATGAAGTTGTATGTAATTTACCAATTTTTTTTCTATTTTTTGTAATGTGGTTGCATGAATTTTGTTTTTAGGAAAATGGTTTGTTTATCATGCAAGTTTTTACTATCTCAACACATTATTTGACAAAACTGTGTTTGATGTAAGATAGGTAAATATTATGCAAGGGTATTACTGTAAATTTTTAATAATTTAATTAGCAGGACTTTAGGTGATTACCAAACGCACATAATGTTAGTAAAATCACTTTTGCAGATAAAAGTACTTTTCAACAAGATGTCAACCAAACGGTTTTTTATTCTCAAATTTATTTTTGTAAAGTCATTTTTCTAAGCACTTTATAGTGAAAAGAACTTTTTGCGTCAGGAAGCTCCCCCAAACACCGCCTAGATAATATGTTGTTGCAATCAAATGCAATATGCGTGATAGTGCACTTTTGAAGGAATTATGGGAACATAATCCACAATTGAATAAATCTTACTGGGTTGACCAGAGCAAAGCTTGTTGCAACAAATGTTACACCCTGAACTATTTCCTTTATAATTCTACGGAGAAATCATCCCACTGTCACATCAATGTTACGGCCAATATGGTTTAGGCATGGAACATGGTGAATGGTAGAATGAGAGTGGCCATCACACCTTGTGACAGCCGCATGGAATAATTTTCCATATGGAATGGGCTTCGAATTTTCATTGCATGCCATTGCATTTTTATGATTTGTTATACTATATTTTACAGGATAATGAACCATTAATGCGAGCACTTTCAAAGCTCATCAATCTCAACAGTCCCGATCTGGTCCTGTTCGTTGGTGAGGCACTGGTTGGGAATGATGATGTGGATCAATTATTGAAGTTTAATCAGGTTCTGTCTCTATAACTAGGCTCTCACGCCTCTCCTAATCCAAGACTGATTGATGGAATTCTGCTCACCAAGTATGATACCATTGATGATAAGGTAGATGATGTTATTTTACTGGAGAGAGTGAATATATTAGTTGGAAACTTCTTTTCAAAACGAAAAGATGAAATGAATAATTAAATGCACAATGAATACATTTCATCATGTTTGCCCCATATGAGTATAGCTAGTGGTTATTTCCTTTAGTGGGTCTAAATTTTGGGCTTGTATATCATAGCTCTTTTTTAATTATCTCCAACTTGGTTCACGACACCTGAAATAATTGGAATTGGTGAATGGCATAGGTTGGAGCTGCGCTGTCGATGGTTTACATATCTGGAGCACCTGTCATGTTTGTTGGCTTTGGACAGTCTTATACAAACCTCAAGAAGCTCAATGTCAAGTCCATTGTGAAGACACTCCTTGAATGAGAAAATGTGTTGGTCTCACTCTTTCAGTTATAGTTATCTAAGCACGTCATCCTTCTCTCTGTTATCAATTCTCTATCCATGCTACAACTTTTATACTGTCCCTGTGTGATCTCATTACTTTGATGTTGGAGGTGAATTATTGCATGCTGTTGTTAACTCTCTCTCTCTCTCTCTTTGTAGCATCAGATTTGAGAATCGAGTTGAGCATTGATCTATTCTAGCTGAAGCTTGGTATTGAGTTCTATATTAGTGTCCAAGCTCGGCTCGAATATATTCATCAGAGTTGAGTGAGTTCGACAAATTTCAATCTCTCGAGCTGGCGTGTTCATGACCATTTTGTTCATGAACTTTGTCTGCAAGTCTGCCAAATCGAGCCTTGTGTTTTTTGGGGTTCGAACCAGCTTTGGAATGAGTTCATAAAACAAAGTTGGCCTCAAACCCATTTGGTTAAAAAATGAATTCGAGTTGAGTGTTAACGTAGCCGTGCTTAAGCTGTTCATGCATGTGAGAAATTTGAGATGGGAGGCTATCAGATCACAGATTCGGATAATAAAACAAGCTAACTTTGATATCATATTCATGTTTAAATTCCAGTCTTTGACTTGTTCATAAATTTATATGAGCAGCCTACCCTATTCATGTCTAAATTCCAGTCTTTGACAGGTTATTTTGTTCTTAGCGTGCTTTTTTCTTCATAGAATCAGGGCTGAGTAGAGATCTCATGTGTGAAACAATTTTGTTCAACGTTGGGACAGCTTTGATTCAAAGCTTAAAGAAAACAAAGGTAAATAGTTGCAGTGTAGTACCATAAACATTAAGAGCATCTCTAGACTCGTTAAAATTAGGCTCTCTAAATTTGCCACTTCAGCATTTTTTAATAGTCACATAAGTATTTTTCATAGTCACGTCAGCATTTTAGAGTCTCTAAATTTTAGCTATCACATGTATTTCAATGGTACATATTAGCTCTCCAAAAATTTTAATATTTTTAAAATTTAATTATTTGTTCATTTCATCAGTATTACATTCATCTCAATTTATTTTTGTAAAATATCAATTCACATCTCTTTCAATCTCAAAATTCCAATGGGTCAGTCAAACAATACCTAAAACGGCTATAATGTCAATAAGAATATTGAAAAATTTGAAAACGAAAAAAAATCACTTCTTTCTAATTTTTTAAAACTTTCTTTTGCCCAAAAAAAGCCTTTAAGGCACTATTTGTGTCAGCCAAACATTGCTTTAACGGCTCTTTGGTTCAATTATTTTGAGGAAAAAAAAAAACTGAATTTTAGTTTTTATTTTAGCCAAACATGCCCTTAGGAATAGTGTTTTGGGTTCTTAAAGTGTTCTTGCCTGAATTTAAAAAATAAAATAAAACAAAAATGGGCCCATAAAAAATGAGCCCAATCGCCAACCCAATCTTGCATTCTGGCGACCTCCATAAAGAGCCTAAACTCGGGACTCACTTTTCCCATATTCCATTGGAGCATGCAATCTCCAAAAATTGGGCCACTTTCGCCAAAAAGAGCACTGATGGAGTTGTTTTAACCAATGTCTGAAATCGAGAAGTGCAACATTCAAAACAAAGCCCCGTTCAGACACGAATTTATTTAAATTTATCCTCCTTTTTTTTTTTTTTTTTTTTTTTTTTTGTCCATATAAAAATTATGGAATTTTAGTATCTTCAAAATTTTAATATATAATATGTTCAAAATATTAATAGTTCTTCATTTAAATTACTTTCAATCCAAAAATTTTAATTTAGCAATTGTTATTTGCTTTCTACTACTCTACTTTTGTATTCTTTGAAATTTTTTGAAGTCGTGATATGAATATTATAAATTTTGATTTGAGAGTGTTATCTGAACATGGGATCAGATATGGTTCAATATTAGGATATTTTTACTGAATTTGTAGTTTAGTTTTAATTCAAAGTGTTTGAAAATAGGTTCCCATATAAATTAGTTTTATATAAATAAATAAAAATTGTGTCACAAACACAAGTTGGATTTGGATTTGGATTTGAACATGTATTGAATATGTCTAGTTTAATTTGAAACTTAAGAACCGCAGACTCAAAAATATATATATATATATATGTATGTATACACACACACAGTTTATTAGAAACAAACAAGATTAGAAACAAAAAAGTTAAAAGTTAAACTAACAGGAATTCAGCAGCAAACTGAAACCCGTGCACACACTAAGAATTGGGAAGAAGAACGAAAGAAGGTTTTCTTATATGATGAGGTAAGACATGCTATTATGGTATTACCTGTGAGCATTCTTGGAAATTATCTGTGACCTATTTTTTTTTCTCTTGCCAGCTTTAGTTACAAATTCAACATAAAAGAATTAAAATAAAATATATTGCCCAGTGTTATTTTACACAAAGTGGCTCCTCTAAGACTTGAAGTGTTTTGAACCAGAGACTTGTTGGTCTGAGAGTTTTTACCAGTGTACAAGACAATGTATGTTTCCCAATACATTTTCACCTAAATTGCTAAATAAGGAGTGAATAGAAACTTTTCTAATTTAGTAACACAACAAAGTGGGACTGCAAACTCCTTTCACTGTAATCATGCGAATCAGATAAATTTCTGTCACAAACATTTATCCACTTCAAGTCAAAAAGATGATGACAAAATAGAAGTGGAAGATGACTTACTATTTGCAGAAGCTAAACCAGAATGCAGTGAAATCACCAAGAGGATAGCTAGACCAAACAAGACAACGTGTGGATGTGCATCAATCAATAAGAGCAACGGCAAGGAATGCTTCAAACTGCAGCAGTATTTCTGTTGGGAACAAAATCAGAAAATTTCAGCCCACTAGTGTACACCTTATAAACTCTTTTGAATTTTGGTGACGTCAGTCCTCTCTGCACACTTTGGAATTTCTCTGTGCGGTGCTTTAAGAGTTTCTGCAATCTTTTGAGAAGCAAGATTATGAACTTTTAGTGGAATGACAAAACAAAATAGATTTCTTGGGATAAACTGTGTGAGCCAAAGGAAGAGGGTGGTTTAAGTTTCAGAAATGTTGAAGCCCTTAATCTAGCTCTTTTGGCAAAAAATGCTTGGATATTTGACGTGGGTAACTCGTTACTTTTCAAGTTGTGCAGACAGGGCATCTTGGGTATGGAAATGTTTTGCAAGGTATGGAAATGTGAACTTGTCTTTGATCGCATCCTTTAGGGAGAGCCAGTTGTGGTGGAGCTTGTACTGGTGGAAAACCCCTGATTCAGTTATATGGTGACCGTTCCAGAGGATCTTACCAGCTGAGGGTCAAGAGAATCCAGCTAGCATGCACAAGAAAGTACTTTTGCCCGAACGATTGGCGCCCATCAGCACAAGGGTACCGCCATCATGAATGGAGACATTTACATTGTTGGCTCTGAGATACATATACTACACTGACATCAAAAACAGGCTTCACTTCTAACACCTCGAACACAAACTTTCTTTCAGACACAAACATCAAATACTTGCTACCCAAAACAGGGTTTCCATATTTGGGTCTTTTTCGAGGCCAAAAAAACAAAAAAAAGGTAGAGAAAGATTAAACAACCAAAATTAAAGCAAGTTTAGTTAAGCAATTTACGGTTTATGTAATCTATGCCGCAAATGTAACAGTAAAAAATCATGTTTTGCCATGTACAATTGTTTAATGAACAGACTTTGGGACATCTACTTATTACTTACTTTATTGCTTCACTTTTAAAAAATACATAATAAGAGCAAGAGACACTCATGAATTATATATATTACCGTCTTAAATTTGATACACATAAAAGATAACATATATGTTCACACCCAAAATTCAAGAAAATAAAAAATGACCTAAAACTGGCACACAAAAGATACGAATCCATCACTAAATTTAAAGAATTGTCAATACATTGAATAACAAAAATAGTTAATATCAAAACAAGGTACGTGAACTATACATGAACAATGGTAGCGCAAAGTGATCGGCACATTGGACAAGAATTGTTTTTTGGCAACCAAGTGCGCAAACAATCATGATGAAATATATGTGAACAGGGCGTGGTTGCGATTTCTGTCCCTGTTAAGAACCTTTGCAGACAAATTGAACAATTATCTACTGATAGTGAGGTATGATATTCATTCAATCTGTTGACTTTCACTGCGGTCTCAATTTCTTTGAAAAGAAATATTGGCTCGTCCCTAGGAATTGATTCATCGTCTCTTAATGTGCTTAGAATTTCCAAATGATCATTCCTTGGTACCTCCGCATAGTGACTCTCCTCATCAACCATGTCTGAAGCATTATTGTTATAATCCATTAAGTCCTCCTCCTCGTCCTCAAATTCTTGTCCTACTAAATCATCAACACAGTCAACTTCATGTTCTTCTTCAACATTTAAATCCGTTGAATCATAGTTCATGTCCTCATCATCTTCTTCATTTTCAGTTGAGGAAACCATGTCTTGTTCTTCATCTTCAACGTTGCCATATTCTTCTTCTTCTTCTTCTTCTTCTTCATTACGAAAATCTTGGGAAGAAGTGGTTTTGAAAACAGAAGTACTCTCCGCAAAAATATCAACAACGACAACAATTTTGGACTTTCTGGAAGGAAACGAGTTTACTGTGGTGGTAAACTGAAAATTACTTACAAGGTACTTAATTAAATGTGCAGATAGAATACGATCATTAGTGTCTAGCAAGAAAATATTCTGGGATTGGGTGGGCAAATCGAACATTGATTCTAAGGATTCTCGAGGAAATAAGTTGTCGAGACGGAATGGAAGAAGAATATCCTTGTTTACTCTTAAATCAATCTTGACTTCCCCAACAAGAACATCCGTCGATACACGGATCATCAACATTCCTTCAGATTCCGAACCCTCGTTTTTGAAAATCCTTTCGTCCCACTCGAATACACGAACATCTGCTTTACGAATTCTTTCAACTACTGCCATCTCTCTGTTTCTCTCTCTACAGGACCGTGGTGTTTGCAGTAGGCGGTGATGGAGGTTTTGGGTCGACAGGGTTTTGCACCGGTGGGCTGTGTAGTTCGATCGGGACCGTGGTCGGCGGTGGCAGTTTGTGTTAGGGTTTGCGAGGGGAAAGAGAATAAAAGGAGGAGGATCGGGTGGTGTCGCGACGGGAATAGAGGGACGGAATTCCCGGATTAGTCTCTGGGCACTGCAAGAAAACGGACTATAGCTAACGAGTGAGAGAGACCCTTCCTCGTCTACTCGATGATAAAGATTTATAGTCATATCTTTCTTTGGCACCAAGTTTCATCTTTCTTAGTTTCTTGTGTTGTTTAAACATAAACTAGATTCATTTTAGACTTGTCTGGATCAAAATTCATATCTAAATACACATGGCATTCGCATGAATATGAACTCAAACTTACCTCTATGGGCTTCAAAAATATTTCATTTGATGTCCTACTTCTGTAAAAGCAATTACAGTTTTATGTTATTTTATTTATTAAAAAAAGAAGAAGAAGATAATATTGTTGTACGTTTAATACTTTTTAGTAAATTATATTTGTTTCCACGTCTTTTGTCCAAATAAATAAGGGACAAAAACTTCTGTACCCAAAGAGGGACATTACTCACTGTTGTCTTTAGAATTGGATAATTTTAGGAATCAAATCACAAATTAATTTCCTTGCTAAAATGGCTATATTATTACCCAAATTGAAACCCCTCTGTGGATGGTCAATACATAACAACCTCCTTTGATTGGTTGATAATTAGGAAAACATAAAAACCAAAAATAAGTTGGAGATTTTAAGACCATGGACCTATTTGGTGCTTGTGGTACTCTCAAGCATTTGTCAGTATATGGAGAGTATTATATAAATAAATGCGGTGGTTATGAATCTTACTGCAATAAACAACAATCCATGAAAAATTTAAAGTCTAAACAGAGGAGTCCTCTTATTTTCTCTTGTCTAGGGATAACTGAGACTCCTATGCAAAACATTATTTGCATTGCTTCATTGAAGAACCAATTAGAAGTTCATGGTGAGAAAAATAGGCTCAAGCCCCCAAGGAAGGACAACATATCAAGAGTAAACTTACAGGAAAAGGGGATAACACTGAAAGAGAAACCAACCGCGCAAACTATAAGATTAAACCTCCAGTTCAAAGAGAACATCAAAGTCTACAGTTTACTGCAAACAGCTTAATGACAACTAATGCCCCACCTCATCACTTCTCATTTTCTATCGTAAAGCATTTTATTCATACAAATCACGATTTCACACATTAAAATTATTCCCTTTCCTGACCCCTCCTGTTTGTCGACATGTTGTCCCTGTATAGCAACTTTTAAACTGTAACTAGGAGGAAGAGTTCTTCAGAACCCATTCCACCAGAGTTGAAATACCAAATCCAGTTGCAGTTTTCTTCTTATCATTCCAGACAGGACCAGCCATGTCAATATGCATCCATTGGACCTTCTCATCAACAAACTGCGAAAGAGAAGTTCTTATGTTAGCATACCTTGTACTACTTTCAGACAGGAAATCATCTTCTAGGAAAAACAAAAAGATAACAGAAACATGGATACAGAGTCCTATTGATTTCATCTGGAAGGTCTATGAGCAACACTTGAAATTCAGAATGGTCATTGGATCATTGGCTAATTGCAGCCTGAATGGAAGATGGATAAATGCCCCGAGGTTTCAGTTCTAAAGAGTGCCAAGAAGATCAGAAAGCTATTTATTGGAAACGCAACATTCAAAATTAGAACTTGGAAGAAACCAGTTAAGGTCAATGGCAATTCAGATGCCACAAAGAATAGTGCAATCAACTGCCTAACCACAACCCCTCCCTCCCTTCTCTCCCAACCAAAAATAAATAAAATAAAATAAACCTTTAATTTCTTAATCACACTGCATTTAGGAAGAAGATAATTTTCTATTAGCACAAGGAGGAATCACATTTGATATGTAAGCCACTATGCAACATAGATAATTACTGCCAAGGGTCGCTTGCCATGAAATATTATATAGCAACTAACAAGATGGAACTAAGTTCAGGATTATATGGTTTTGATAGACCATGCCCAGCTGACTTGGAGACCAACTCCATAATGTCCATCTACAAGATATAACATGGTGTTGATAGACTGAATACTGTACCTGTTTCAAGAAGAGAGCTGCAGTAATGGCACCACCTGGACGACCACCAGTATTAACCATATCAGCAACTCCTGATTTCATGGACTCCCAATAACTATCCTCCAAAGGCATCCTCCAAAGTTTTTCCCCAGCGGCCTCTGAAGCTGTAAGTACCTCCTTTGCCAGGTCATCACTAGGTGTAAAGATACCTGTTTTTTTTTCAAAATAATTTCAATAGAGAAGAGATGGTTGTACAAGGACTCAACTTTTAGATTCAATTGGCATTTCTATAGAAGAATGTGAATGCATCATGTCAACTATTATCACATTAATGTCCTTGACCACCTAAACCAATTGTGAACTGAATTCAATATTCAAACAGTGTTCCAGAAACGTCATTGTGACAGATGACCGCAAAAAATTAATAAGAATAAAATAAAATAAATAAAAACCCCGTATTATCAAATTAATGACCTTCACCACCTAAAAAGTAAACAATTGTGAACTGCATTCAATATTTGAACATTGTGACGGAAAAACCACCCAAAAAAAAATCCAGAAGAATTGTGTAAGTTAACATGCCATTTCATAGTTTGCAAACTACACGAGAATCCCTAGTATCGAGTCCCAAGCCATTCTAAACAATTAAAAATGATACCATATACCTTTTTCCCCCCTATAACAGGGCATCGTTTTTGTTCCCATATAAATTTTATCTTTGGTACTCTCCTAATGCGACACAATTATTTCCTGTGTTTCTCAAAACTCAGATAAATCCAAGCAGGATTTTGCATCCATATCCATCACCATGATCATGATGAAGATATCATAATTGTCCATACCTGCAATTGAGGGTCCAAGAGCTACTATACAGGCCCCAGTTAGGGTTGCCAGATCAACAATCTGCAACACAATTGAACATGGTGTTAGCACAACTTTCATCCAAACCGAACTTTTTAAGCAGAAGCAAACTTTTCAAAGAAGAATTACAAATCAAAATACACAATTATAAAATAGCATTTAGACAGTCCTATACAAATTCTGATGGTTGTCATATGACCAGCAAAGATCTGAAATTGCAGAAGATGGATTAGATCAACAAAATCAAGGAATTCCAAAAAAAGCAGCTGATTCCAGGCTAAACCAAATTCCACATCAGATTCTCATTTTCATCTTCAGACTGGAAACTTGTGATGATGCTCATCTTCCTGTGTTTTGAATTGAACATTGACCGAGGACCTCAATGAATTTCAAGAATAATTCATGTTGAACAATGTAAATTTTCAATATATATATATATATATATATAAGCACGTTTTCAAATTATTATTCCATTATTTTTTCTTGAAAAAGAAAAATAAGAGTCAGCTTATCAGGATCTATTTATTTATTTTTCGTTAAGCAAGCAAGCACACACCCACTATGCTGCCTCAGTGGGGGCATAAACCCTCAGCTTCTTAAAATAAATTTTCCCATATCAACAACGTCACAGTACAAGAAGAAGATATCTGGTATCGTTGTAACCTAAACCAAGAGCTAAGTATAAATACGAGAGTGCATTAGTTATAAGAAGTTTAGTGCTTGGAAGATCAAAAGGAAAACAACCCACAAAATACAGGTTTCCTGAAGATACTGTTTAGCCACAAATCCAGTCTAAACAGATACAAAAGTGCATTAACAGTATTGTATCTAGATAATACCTTCTCTACACCTTGGTTACAAGCATATATCAAAGCATCCGCAAGTGTAAGTCTTCCTTCAGCATCAGTGTTGTTAACCTGCAATAGAGATTCAAGCCAATAGAACATTTTTTTAGTAGATTAAAATCGAAACAGAAGTCCATAAAGTAATTGAGTTATCTATGAGAAACAAGACAATATCTCCAAAATTTATATGCACAACACTAGATGTCCAGTAAATCCAACTAAAGTTAATGGTTCAGATGAATAATGTGTCACCTTAACTCTTAATAATTTTCTCCTCTCTCTTTCTTTTTGTTCTTTTCTTTGTATGAAAGTAAGCGACTGTCTGTGAATTGTATTGAGCTAGAAACCCTTCTTATCAGATGTTGTATAATCCAGGTCGTTAGCATCATCTTCGGTATTCAGTCAAACAAGGAACATATTACACTACATGGTGTTTGTGAGATGATGGGCCAGGGGATGAAAATTCATGACGGTAACATAAACCTCACAAAAGGCAAACTTCTAAAATGACATGACATCAAAACCAAGAAGAATAATCATTCCAAGTAAGTGAGTAACCAGAGGTCAAGTATGACATTAAAAGCAAAATGGGAACGTTCTTTACATCAGTCTTATTACTAAGGAACAGATTAAAGCTGTCCGGCACAAATCAACAAAAAGAATGCTGACATTGTCTAGTCTCTGACAAAACTTGGCTGCAAGGTGAACAGTCTGATCAGATTCCTGCCAATTGGCCTTGAATTACCTATCTCTAGTCATTGTACGCTAGATAGACAAAGAAATAACAATTGGGATAGTGAATCATGAAATCTAACTTGTCTCTGAATATCGAAATGTATTCTTACTTTATTTAATAAATGAGAATCATTAATAGATAACACATTTTCGGAGTTTTGTGGCAGTTTTCTCCTCCCTCCCCCCCCTCTCTCTCTGTCTCTCTCTCTCTCTTCCTGCAACATATCGGTTTCAAAGTCAGACCATCTACAAAGTCTGCAACCCTCCTACTAGTCAAAACCCCGAGTCTACTAGTTTTCCTTAACCTAATCCTACCATAAAACAATGCATAGGAGGACTTAGTTTAAGTTTCCTAAAGCTCTTCTACATCAACTGTTGACAACCCAAAGTCAAGACAATTATTGCATTTGTTTTGGCCCCCCAACCAAGTGCCCTAGGTCCACCCCTGCAATGGTCATTAGATCTTCTCATAAGCTGAATGACTGATTCCTTTTCCAGAAAACTGAAGAAATTACCTCAATCGTCTTTCCATTTGAAGCAGTGACGATGTCTCCAGGCCTCATACCTGTTCCACTTATCATATTCTCACAAGCAGCAACAATGAAATGAACCTGCAAGCAAAATGCATTTTATTAAATCACATGGATATAGCTAGCTAGATTCAAGTTGTTCAAGCTCTGAAAAGTTAACAACAAAAATAAAGGAAGAACGAACACAGAGAGAGAGAGAGAGAGAGAGAGTGCAAATGAACTGATTAGGATATAGTTCCTTGCAACTACAAAACAAATGGATCACCTCTACTCCTGCTGGTTTAATTTGACCAAGAGCTTTTGCTGCACCTAGAACTGCAGCTGAGCCTCCCATGTCGAATTTCATAAGCTCAATTAAACAGCCAGGTCCCGTCTTGATGTTGTAGCCCCCACTACAAAAATACAAGTACAAGTATTCAATAACCATGAAAACAGAGCCAACAAAAGCAGGTGTTATCAGAATAATAATCATGCACACAAATTTTTGTATAATAATCATTACAACCATTAAACACAAAGGTAATGGGAAAAGGAATTAGAGTAAGAACGGAAGAAACATCATATCATCCAAAATCTCAATAATGAATACCAAGGGAAAGAAAATTGACCCACTAATCGGCCCAAACTATAGTTCTCATATGACAAAAATCCTAAAGCGAATGGTTCATCATAACATACATACATAAAATATCTCATCATAACATACATACGAGTGCATATATAATCACCTGTCAAAAGTCAATCCTTTTCCCACCAATGCCAACTTTGTTTTAACAGGCCCACTTGGTGGCTTGTAACATAGATGGATGAAATGAGGAGGATTTGCAGAAGCTGCAGCTACACCCAAGTAGGACCCCATTTTCAAATCTTTGCATTGTTCTACATCCAAAATTGTCGCAGAGATAACATCGCTATACATGGAAGCAATCTTTGAAGCCTCTTCTGCTAGTACTCCTGAGGTATTAGACAACAAGAACTATCTCAATCTGTTGGGAAAACCAATGAGAAATACAGGCCTGCTAAAACACCAAATATTAAAATGAAATATAATGCAAAAGTGCATATATGGGTAACGTGAAGGGCAGTTTACAATTGAGAAATACAGAGGGGAAGAATAGAACACTAAAATTACAGTGCAAGATAACGGACCAGGGGTGAGCACATTGGGAGGTGCATTCACGAGCTGTTTGCCCAAAATTATCCCAGAACAAACATCTTCTGCATACTTGAACTTCTTCTCTAGCTCGGGTCCATTTCCAAGACCAAGAATATGCACAGATTTAAGCGATGGCTTCTTTGATTCTGACCTAAATCTATTATCTTCATAAGTCCCCAGCAAAGTCCCTATCATAATTCAATCCATACCATCATGTTTAAACCCATAAGACAATGCAAACATGCATCTAATATCAAATTTATTTTAATATTAACAAAATGAAAGAACAAGTACCAGAAGCAATTGCTGAAGCAGTGCTAAGCTTTGATTCAGCAGATAGCTCCTCAGAAGAAGCAAGGGCAATAGCAACATCACTTGCTTGAGCAGCCTTTGCGGCTGCTGCAACAGCCTCACCAAGACTGCAATAGGCGGCAGATGACGAGCACTGCCCAAGCCCAATTAAGCCAACCCTTTTCGAGCCAAGACCCGGAAGCCTAAGAACAGTCGACTGACCAGCTTTTCCAGTGAAATCCTCCTCCAAAGAGGCTTCAGCCAACAATCCACCCAACTGGGAATCTAGCTTTTTCAATATTGCATTTTGGAACTTTGAGCTCTCATCTTTTGTCATGTCTTTCTCAGTCACACCCACTGCAAGTATGTCTCCTTTCCATTCTACTAAATCAATCTCTTTCGCAGCAAAACATATCTTTTGCGAATTTTCACAAACACATAACGCACATATCAGTATTCCAATTACATACAGATAAGGAACTATATACATAATCCACAGATCGAGTTTTTCACATACTATAGTTCAGTAATTGTTGAATGAACAGATGATCGTTACAAGTTCATACCATGATAATGAAAATTTTAAGCAGATTCATACAGAACGAAAGATCCATAAACAGAAATCAGATACCCATAAACTGAATAAAATTAAAAGAGTGTACAAAACAGATTAACCGATTCATAGAGAAAAGGGTGTGTGTGTAGAGAGAGAGAGAGAGAGAGAGAGAGAGAGAAACACACCTTGGGTGGGTCGATTTGAGCAGGGTGAGTGAGGCCGAGAGTGGCCCGAGCAAGAGAGTGAGCCATGCGCTTCCCTCTACGAGATGTGACGGTTGCAAATGGAAGTCGCAGCAAATGGGTCGACCGAAGCTTAGTAAAAACCGAAGAGGAAGATGAAGAAGCAGAAGAAGCGATTCTAGTCAATGAGGAGGTAAAAGAAACAACAATGGCGGCCATTTTATGGTGTGGGAGTCTCTATGTATTTATAGTGAAGATTCTTATGAGGGGGTGATAATGAATGATGGTTTTGTTGACATCACCACCAGCATATGCCTTGCGTTTCCATTATTCTACATGTTCCCTTTATCCTTTGCCTTTTTTATTTTTATTTTTATTTTTTTATGTCTTTGTCTTATACGCACACTAATACGATATTTATGCTTGGGTACAGCGGGTCGGACTAATATGATATTTATGCTTGGGTACAGCGGGTCGGACTAATATGATATTTATGCTTGTTCATAGCGGCGTGAAAGGTAAGCCCCTGAGATTTGCTTTGGAACTAAATAATACATGTTTTAAAGAAAAAAATAATAATAAATGTGATATTTATGCTTGGTTATTATTTTTGTATTAGAAAAAATGATACAAATGTGAAAGGATTCTATGAATTGACTAAATATCAATTATAAGATACATATTATATATAATTGTTAATTTGTCTAGCTTCTTGTAAATATTTGTTTGAAGGGTGGCAAGAAACATGCATATATACTTTGTTTCATTTTTATTTCTTTTCTCTTTTTTCTTTCAACACCTTTTTGGTTGATATAAATTATTTGGCCCTATATTTTCATTGTCCATGTAAATTATAGGAATAAAAAATTCCAGCAGTGTTCTAAAATTATAGCAAGATAATTAAGAAATTCGCTCTTTTTTTTTTTTCTTTTTTTCCAAATCAATATGATGCCCATGTCATTTTAACTTAAATAAAAGAAATACCATTATTTACTAAAATAGAGTTTTATTCCTCCAATTGGATAGGTAAGGATACAAAATCATGTTCAAAGTACGCTTTGCGTGGTAAAATTTTATTCTAGTGAGCGTATGTAAGAAGTATGTCAATTTTTGTTTTACTGTGTGTGAAAAGCATGTAAATTTTTTTTCTAGTGTGTGTTGAGAAGCATGCCAAATTTTTTTTTTTAGTGTGTGTGAAGCTGTCATTTCTCATAGTATTGCTCCATAAACAATAAAGAAGGCAAAAATTTAAATTTCTTATTATAAATATGAATGATAAATACACCAACAAAAATTTAGCCTAATGATATAATCTATTCATCTTTAAAGTAGATGATAGAGGTTTGAGGTTCAATTCTCTAAGTAGATAGTAGGAGTTCGAGGTCCAACTCTCAAAATGGGTGCGTTGATGTTCAAGTTTCCTTTTCCTAATTTACTAAGAAAAAAAAAAAAAAAAAATTACTATCAAATTAGGTTCAAACTTAGATATTTGAACTCATCAATCACTATGTCAAAACTAAATAAAAGCCAATTCAAATTAATTTAAAATTTGAACTAAAAATTAGGTTCAAACTTAAATATTTGAACTCATCAATCACTATGTCAAAACTAAATAAAAGCCAATTCAAATTTTAAATTATGTAACAAAAAGAAAGACATCACAAAATGTTCTTTCATTAATTAATTACCTGCAATAAAAACCAAACTATGTAAAAATATAAGGGGCACAACAAAATGTTCATTCATTAATACATATCCACAATTAAAACCAAACTATTATTATTTGATTTCAATAACTATTTTTTCTTTCTTAAACACATTTGGGTCAACATCCAATAACCAAAAATGTTGTATATCATCACTTCAAATTTATGCACAATTTAATCCTAACAAAAAAGTAATAATATGGTGTTTTCAATAATATAATTGAATGTAAACACAATGGAATGGAATTGTAAAATTCGAGATATTCTAGAGAAATTATTAGAAATGTTCCATGTTCTATGTCTCAATAATCTTTCCCACTAAAAGAACTAAAATAAAAATAAAAATAAAATACGTCCAAAAGACTAAAACCATCTATCACTTGTTTAGCAAATCTCTCGATAGTTAGTTTCTCTAGTGAATTTTGGGAGTATCAGGTTTCGACTCTTTGCACCTACTGATTTAATTTTTAACCCTTCTTGTCTTATAAAAAAATAATAATAATAATAATAGAATAAAATAAAATAAAATCAGTCACGTGCCTAGCGCGTGCACCCTTGCACATTGTAATTACCAAATCGACCAGCCTGCTCTCTAGTCCCTTGTTTCATACTTTCAGTACAGTTTTGTGTGTATATTGGAGCTCTCTCAAACCCTAGACCGAAATACTGATAACTATCAAAGAGAAGATGGTGGCAACGAATTTGAAAGCAGAGACAATGTCTTTAATGGAGAAAAGGAGTTCGTTGGAGGCCGAGATGAACGTCATCATCGAGCGCCTCTGTCAACCTGGCGGTCCCGGACTTTCTGGCAATCTTGTCGATTCCGAGGCAATTATTCTCCCCAATTTCAATTATATATGCATAAATATACTTATATATATACGTATCTTTAGGTTTTTGTTATATTAGGGTTTGAATTTAACAATTATTTTCTTTCTGTTAGGAATAGGATTATAGTGAATTATGTTATTTCATTTTATTCCATTTTCTCGGCAACCAACCGGACAACTTTAGTTTGACAATTTTTGTTTTTAATGGCCTTTTTTAAGAATTCATTATTCCGCAGGGGTTTCCTAGGTCTGATATCGACATCCCAACTGTCCGAGCGGACCGGCATCGGCTTGCTGGTATGTTGCATGAGGCTCATTGCCATCACACCACACACAGATACAGTTGTTCTTAGTGTGGCATGAAAAGTGATGTGTTTGTTGGTAATTGCTTTAAAATGACAAGAAATGTTGTACACAGTTATGTTGAGCCTATCTGTCTTGAAAGAACCTTGTCCAGTAATTGTTAGTATTAAGTAATGTATATTTCAATTATAAACAAGCAGGATTGATCCCCCAATGAAATTGGCAGGATCGTTTTTTTTTTAAGAACTTATACTTATGATTGCTATTTTGTACAATTATATACTGTTGAACAACATTCTTTGTTGGAGAATTCAATTCTGTTAATAAATCTTTCTGGGTCAAGTTGTTTTTTCGATAATTAATAACTGATATGGCTAATGCATAACAGAATTTGGGGTTGTCAAGTTGTTTTTTCGATAATTAATAACTGATATGGCTGATGCATAACTATTTTGGGATATTTAATATTGTTCTTCATCGGTATGCCTTCAAGTGATTCCAGACTTCCTTGGCTTGTAGCATAAAAGGAAAGTTTTTGCCCTTCTTTCATTCATATGATATTCATGTGAGGAATAATTGCCAAAACTAATTTTATATAGACTCTAGCTTTTGCTTGTGTAGCCCTTTCAGTGACTTTCCGAAACTCATCCATCTATTTCAAAAATAAAGTATCTAAAACCCAGTTACTATATTGTTATTACCAATGTTGGTGCTGCTATATGTACAACATATATAAAGAGTCACTATTGATTTTTTTGCCAATATTTGTTAATTCATTTTTGTACTTACTGCAGAACTCCGAAATGATCACAAGGATGTTACAGGGAAAATAGATGAAAATATACAAATGCTGCATTCGGCCAGGCTTGCTCCTAAATCTTCACCCTTCAAAGATTCAGGTGGGAGTAAAACTAAATTTCTTTTTTTCCAGGTCGTTAAATGTGAAAATCTTATAATTAGAGTTATGTAAAGATGTTGGTGAAATTTACTCTTGCAAGGAGGATCTGTTTAGCATTTACCATCAATTGATTGCAATAATAGATTTTATCTGATTGAGATATAATATTGTAGTTTATATTTTAGTCTTGAATGTTTGAAATCTCTAGTTAATGCTGCTGGTATTATCATTAATTCCTTGTACTAAGATTCTGTGGCATCACTTACTTTCCCATCACACACACACACACACACACACACACGACGAAGCTGGGTAGGTTCATATACTTCTCTTGTTCCAGCTGCAGTTCAGGTTTACATCCACATGTCATGGTTCTTTGAGGTTATTATTTTGAATATCTGATGGATGAAACTGGTGGTGAGCCAGTGAAACTTGTTTAGTTATGCTTTAGGATCTTGACAAATTTTCCATTTGTTATTTATGATGATCTTCCTAAAATTGTTCTTCTGTATTACATCTCAGCTGTTAACTGACACCCTTCTTCTTCCACAACTTTATGCTCTCTCTCTCTCTCCCCAGCAAGTTAAGTAGTTCTGATAACATGAAAAATACTAGTGCTGTAATTTATTCAATTAAGTGTTTATTCATCAGAAAAAAGCTAGAGAAAGATAAAAGGCTTGTATGTTGTGGCTTCTTTTGCACAATGGATAATTTAGGACGCATCTATAAAGATTTAACCACTTCTGCTAATTGGAGGAAAATGCTTCAGTTCTTTGTTTTTTGAGGGGATGGTATGTTTTTTAGTCAACTTGCACTTTAGTTGTTTTGATGGCTGCTCCTTTCGAGTCCTTACCCAGAGAAATATGGTATCAGCAAGAGCTATGGTGGTTGGTGTATCTTTATAAGCTTTGAGAATGATGTCCAAAACTGGCAGAAATATTCATGAAAAATTATGCAGCATAACCGGACATTGCCGATGACTCCTCTTATATATATAAACTTCATTATTGATGCATTTTAGCTGAATTACAACAGCAGATTCATGAAGTTCAGAAGTATTATCCTTCAGTATTCCCATTCCTGGGGGATTTTCTCTTGGGCTTGGCTCTTTCTTAGCACTCGACAGACTAGTTAGTAGTTGGCTCCCAAAAGCTTGCCTGATGATTGTTTAAAAACTGTCATATGAGTCTCATGCCATTCCTCCTATATGTGCTTATTGTGTGTTGCGGGGCAAGGCTTGCCTGTTTAGGCATGCATATGTTGCCTTTTATTCCATTTGTTTTGGCTCTTGTTATGGTGACTGATTTTTATTTACGGCTACTGCCAATTTTTTAAACATAGTTTTTCAGGAAATAGCACGTAGTTGTTTTGATCAGTGTTTTTTAAGTAGGGTGTTTATACTTCTATCACATTTACAGCTATTGTCTAGCAATGCTTGATTTTTCATTCTATAGGGGAAAAAAATGATGTTTGTTTTGAACAGTGAAGTTGAAGTTATATGCCCGTGTTATATTTTTGCTCTTTGAAACAACTGTTGATTGAAATATTAAATTTGTATCTTAGGTGACTTCATAATGCAACAAATTGACTGCATATTTTCTATATATACAAGGTAATATTGAAGGGTCAAGTAATCAATACCCACTTGTTGTCAATGCTGGTACATTGACCTCTTCCAACAATGTTCTTCCGGGTGATGCCATTAGTGCTATGGATGTGGATGTAACTGCTAGCATACCCTTTGCAATGGTCGATGAAATAGCTGATACTTCGCCTGCAGCAGAAGATGGTCTACAACTTGGAGATCAGATTGTGAAATTTGGGAATGTGGTTGCTGGCAATGATTTGCCACGAAGGCTTGCTTCTGAAGCACAGACTAATCAGGGCCATGCTATACCTGTAGTGATTATGAGGCAAGGCTCACTTGTCAACTTGACGGTGACGCCTAGATCATGGCAAGGCCGGGGCATCTTGGGGTATGTTTTACGTTTCCTTTCTTTGCGCTCACTTATGTGTTTATATTTCCTTCTAAACCTTCAATTGTTACTTTAAGCTGAAATTTAATAATTCATAATGAAAATGCTAGTATGTGCAAATAGCAGCTTGAAGGAAGTAAGACTTTTGGTGGCTTCTTGGGGCATCAACTCATTGTTTTTTTTTTTTTTGGCTCCTAATGTTTTTTTTTTTTTTTTTATAAGTAAGAAATGCATTGAAAGCGTTCAAACGGAGAACGCATCCCAAGAGAACAAACATAGGGCCAAAACAACCCTTTAAGCCTTCAAAGAGGCCAAGAAAACAACAATATCCTCAGAAGATCTAAAATCTCTACCCGAAACCCAACAAAAAAGAGTGGAAAGAATAGAGAACTTAAGAAAAGAAATAGGCCTCTCCTTTCCCTCAAAATATCTTTTATTCCTCTCCAGCCAGATGCACCACCACACACAAAGAGGCGTAGCCCTCCAAGCATCACCAGCATGGGCCCCTACAGAGAACCCTCTCCAAGCCTCAACCATCTGTCTAGAAGAGCGAGGCATAACCCAATAGAACCCAAACAAACAAAGCATCAAGTCCCAACATTCCTTAGCCACGGGGCAATGAAGAAGAAGATGATCCACTGTCTCATTATCCTGAAGACACATGTAGCACCGATTAACCACTACCTGATTCCTCCTTCTCAAAATCTTACCCAAAACAGAGGTCCAAGCAAAAAAAGCCACCTTGAGAGGAGCCTTAGAGCGCCAAATAGACTTCCACGGGAAGGATCCTCCAGGCTCAGCTGTAAGACACCTGAAGAAGGAACGAACCTCAAAGCGACCTTGCGGATTTGGCTTCCAACTCCAACAATCAGAATCACCAGCCATAACGCTCTGACGATACAGCGCCTCCAACAAAAGAGTGACATCCTCGGCCTCCCAATCTTGAAAAGGACGCCTGAATCGAACATCCCAAACCAGTCTCCCATTATCAAGACAATAACAGTCAACCACCTTAGCTTGTTTATCCGAAGCCATCCTAAACAACCGAGGGAAAGCGAGGGCAAGAGAAACCTCCCCGCACCAAACATCCTCCCAAAAACTGATCCGCCTGCCATCCCTAAGTCTGAAACGAACATGAGTGGAAAAGACAGTCCACCCCTTCCGAATAGACTTCCAAACTCCCACACCCCTCGGGCCACGCACCTCAAGAGAGCACGACCCTCCTCTACCTTTCCCATATCTACTAGCAACAACCTTCCGCCAGAGCCAGTGCCTCTCCACCCCAAACCTCCACAACCATTTTCCAAGGAGAGCTTTATTGAAAGGCACCAATTTACGAAGGCCCAAACCACCATAACGAATCGGCTTGCACACTTGCTCCCACTGAACCAAATGAAACCCCTCTTCCCCCCCAAAGAAAATTGCGTTGCAACTGTTCAATTCTCTCGGCAACAGAGAGAGGAATCTGAAAAAGTGAGATGAAATAAGTAGGAAGACAAGAAAGGGTACTTTTAATCAGAGTAACCCGCCCTCCTTTAGAGAGAGATTGCTTCTTCCAACCCGCCAATCTCCTCTCAAATCTGTCCACAACAGGATCCCAAACCCCCACACACTTCGAAGGAGTTCCCAGAGGGAGCCCTAAATAGGAGATAGGAAAAGAGCCAGTACGACAACCAAGAATGCCCGCAAGCGAAGCTAACTCAGGCACCTCCCCTACTAGCACCAAAACACTCTTGCCAACATTCACCTTGAGGCCAGAAACGATTTGGAACCAAATCAGAACACATCTCAACTACCTGAGTTGGGACACCTCTGCATCACAAAACACAAGCGTATCATCTGCAAACATCAAGTGGGAAATCTTCAACCGGCTGGCAACATCCCTACCCACCTGGAACCCATTCAGGAAACCCAACTCAACAGGCTTCCTCAACATCCTACTAAAGGCCTCCATCACAAAAAGGAACAAAAAGGGGGAGAGCGGATCCCCCTGTCTCAGGCCCCTCGAGCTAGAGAAAAAACCTGTCGGAGCACCATTTACAAGTACAGAGACAAAGCACTGGAGATGCAAAAATGAATCCATTTCCTCTATCGCTCCCCAAAACCCATCCTCTCCATCAGATAGAGAAGGAACTCCAACTCACATGGTCGTACGCCTTTTCAATATCCAACTTACACAAAACCCTTGGTTCCCCACTACTCAGCCTGGAATCCACACACTCACTAGCAATAAGAACTGAATCCAAAATCTGATGGCCTCCCACAAAAGCATTTTGAGAATCAGAGATCACACCATCCAACACTCTCCTCAACCTAAAAGCAAGAACTTTGGCAATTAACTTGTAAATGCACCCCACCAAACTAATAGGGCAAAAGTCCCGAACATCCAACGCCCCTCCTTTTTTGGGGATGAAAGCAATGAAAGTGGCATTCAAGCTCTTCTCAAAAGACCCCTGGGAATGAAAGGCGTGAAAAGTATCCATCACCTCCCCTTTGACAACCTCCCAGCACTCCAAAAGAAATCTCGTGGTGAACCCATCTGGACCTGGGGCTTTATCCCCATTACAGCTCTTCAAAGCGACCAGAACTTCCTCCTCAGAGAAGGGCGCTTCCAGACCTGTACAATCCTCATCAGAAATAGAGTCAAACTGGAGTCCCTCAAGCAAAGGTCTCCATTCCTCCGTCTCAGTGAACAAATGCTCATAGAACTCAGCAATACCTTTACAGATATCATCATCCTTTAACAAAGTCAGCCCCTCCACCCGAATCCTCCCAATATGATTACCCCTTCTATGGGTGTTAGCCAATCTATGGAAAAACTTCGTGTTTCTGTCACCCTCCTTAAGCCACAAAGCTCGAGATTTTTGCCTCCATGAAATCTCCTCTAAAATGGCAATCTCAGCAAATTCAGCCTGGCACTCCAATCTCCTAGTCTTCAAGGAATCCACCAAAAGCCCCTGACACTCCATCTTGTCAATCTCTGCTATCTCAGCAAAGACCCGATTTTTCCGCCAAACAAGATTCCCGAAGACCTCTTTGTTCCAAACCTTTAGGCATTCCTTCAACTGGCGCAAGTTGCCAGCGAGCACGTGACTAGGAGAGCCAACCACCCCAAACCCATCCCACCAGAGACGAACCCTCTCCAGAAAGCCCTCAGCACGAAGCCACATATTCTCGAATCTGAAAGGAGAACGCCGTCGACGCAACCGACCACAACCCAGAAGCAACGGAACATGGTCAGAAATAGGGCGAGCCAAGGTAACCTGAGCAACATCCGAGAATCTCTCCTCCCAATCTCCTGCCACAAGGAACCGATCCAACCGAGAAAGAGTAGGAGGGGACCGATCACTAGACCAAGTAAAATGGCCTCCCTCCAAGGGCAAATCGACCAACCCAAAGTCATCAATGAAGGCCGAAAAGGACTCCATGTCAGACGTCCACCTACCCCTCGTCGATCTCTCAAAAGGAGAACGCACCACATTGAAATTCCCACCAATACACCATGGCAAAAACCATTGTCTTCTAACATCTCCCAACTCCTCCCACAAAAGAAAAAGCAACGAATCCTCTGAAGGCCCATAAACACCTGAAAAAACCCAATGAAAACCATCCTCCACCAACGACAGCTCACAAGAGACAGAGAATCTCCCAATCCAAGAATCCACCAAAGAAACCCAGTGGTTATCCCACATAACAAGGATACCGCCCGAAGAACCAACCGCATCCAAAGCACACCACACCACAAATCTCCCACCCTAAAGACTACGCACAATCAAATCAGTCATCACTGCAATCTTAGTTTCCTGCAGACAAACCACATGACCTCCCCCTTTTCGAATAGCGCACTTCACAACTTTCCTTCTCCCCGGGTCATTGAGACCCCGGACATTCCATGACAAAATTTGTAGCTTCATAGGGAAACAGATGATAAAATCGCCCCCCTCCTCCTCCCACCATCCCTCTCCCTGGAACCCCTGAATCTTCTTTCATAAGTAACCACTCCCGAGGAAGTCCGCCCTTCCCCAGCTCCCCTCCCGGACTGAGAAGCACCCCTACAGCATACCCATTCCAACCTTTGCGAAAGAAGAACATCATGGAACATATTCATCGCCGCCTCCATTTTTCCTTCAAAAGACACCCCCAAAAGAGACCCCACCTCCCCACCTTTCTCTCTCAACCATTCCTCCACCGCACCGTCCCCTCCCTCACCAGGAACTGGACCACCCAAACACTCCCCATCCGGACCAACACAAGCCAAAGGAGCACACAAAACAGCATTCTGCTCTAAACCATCCCACTGCACTAAACCATGCTCCTCCTCAACAGAAGAACAAAGACCTTCCTCCCAATCCTCAAGGATCGGAGTGAAGGGTAAGCAACCAGCCCGCGGAGTCCCAAACACCTCCTCCGAAGCATAGCCCAAAGGCTCACACTGCAGACCATTCAAAGCCAAATGAACTCGCAATTCCTTAATCAAAGAGGCAGCAGAGACTTTGTCCAAGTTAATCTGAACATCACGCCCTACAAGAACAGTGACCCCCTCTCGATTTAAAACAGGGACCGGAGAAAAATCCCTACCACAGCTCTACCCATCCCTAATTCTGTCATCCCCGATCACTAAAGAAGCCGCCTCAAAAACCGGAGACAGCCTCTTGGACAAGGAGGACAGGACTCCCTCCTCCAACCCCGAAGAACGGCCCAACACCCCATTCGGAGGGGTAGAAAAAGAAGAAGAGTGAGGAAGTGAACATATAGGCCGAGAAGAGGGCTTACCCGGAATGAGATCAGGAGGCTTACGCATCACCCATTTCTGTTTCTCCTTTCGAGACCACCTTCTTCAAATAACAGCCAGGCTAATCTTCTTCTTTGCTCTCAGCCGATGACCCTGCACATGAGCTACAACCCATCGGTCTAAAACAACTAGAGAAACCGTCTTGTGGATCCGATTCATCCTCACGAGAAATGGGCCCAAACCGATTCACCACTTTAAGCCCAGAGCGATCAGAAACAGAACCTAGCCCATTCAACCCATCGCAACCCAAATCAGAAAAAGAACTCACCACGCACCCATCCTTAACAACTTGGGCTGAAACAGCTGAACCTGATGCAAACAAGACCTTATCCAGCCCACCCACAGGCCCAACCCCAACAGAGGGCTGAAATGTCTTAACGGCCCGTTTGTTTGAAATAAAAGTGGATACAGCTGTATCCCTTTGCCAACGACCATTTCTTGGACGCCAACCACGTGTCCAAGGACCAATTCTTCCCCATCCACGCACTGGAGGCGCGTGAAGCACACCTTGGTTTCTTCTCCGATCATCAAACTATAGACCTGGCTTACGGCCAAAACCACAAAAACGGCCGTCACTCCAAGCAACCCGTCGGCCTGCAAAACAACCCAGATCCATCGAGGACAAAACACCCTCTCTCCTTTTCTGATTGAAAAGCCTTTTAAAACACTCCGAATTGCGAACCCAGAGTTTATCTCTCCACTCTTTCCACTTCTGAAAATCGGACAACCCTTTCTTCCCCAAAGCCTCCCATCGAAGCAAATCAACCTCTTTCAAAAGGTGCGATCTGTCTCCACCTTCCAAGCTGTCCGTTGTCGGAACCATCACTGGATGCTTCTCCTCCCACACGGCTACTTTATAGCAGACACGGTCATCATGTATAAAAACGAACGGAGGGCAAGCACGACCAACAGAGACTGTGATGCGAACCCTCTTTGCATCCACAGATTTGTCCGCATCCACCCAAATGAAGCCTCCACAAAGATCACCGACCGTCACAAACAGAGAGTGACTCCAAAGATGGAGGGGAAGGCCGAACAACGTGACTCTCTTCGAACCCTTCTCTTTCAAGATCTCGGAACATCCTACCCTGAAACTCCAAGCATTCAGTCGAAGGGAAGCCTTACCTCAATCCCGACGTCCCTCCTTGAGCACACGAGCTGCCTCTGCCGGAGAGGGAAAACGAAAAAGCAACAGAGAATCCGACAGATGCGAAACCACCACCCCGGATGACACCTTCCAAGCATGCGTGGCCCACTCAGCAATTTGAACCCGATCACCCACGTCCTTGTCGAACGAACCCACCAAACATGACCGGAGATTCTCTTTCCTCTTTCCGACTGAGTCGTCGTCCAGGAAGATTGAATGCGCTCTATAAGTATAAGCAGATCTAGCAACCCCGCCCTGAAGGAAGAAATTTTGATTGCAATTTGGAAATAGGATGATAAGGTACCCTTAGGAACGGAAGGGGTCTTTCCCTTCTTTGTAAAGGAAAGGAAGATGGAGGAGGTGTTTTCTGATTTTAATGTTATATGTATGTTTTATAAGAGTGGAAAATGCTCCCCCCCCCCCCAAAAAAAAAAAAAAAAAAAAAAAAAAAAACAAAACACACACACACACAAAGCAACCCAAATAGTTGTTGAAGGTGCGCCTAGGCTCCAAAAAAGCTCTAAGCTTGTCAAAGCTCAGCTAGAACGCCTCAACCTACTACAAGCCAGGTTCCTTCAATCAGGCTGACATATAGCCCTTAAGCTCATGCTTTTTAGTACCGCTCCAAGCTTAAAAAAAGGCGCTCTTTTTATTTTTATTCATTTATTCATATAATTTTCTTTTTAATTTAATGAGTAGTAAATTAAAATGCATCATAACTTGATTCTGAATGTATATGATAATATATGTTTAAAATTTGTGTGATTTTCAAATTTTATAATCACATTTAATTTTGTTAATGCATATGCATATGAAAGGATTTTTGAGCAAATGTATATAAAAAAATAAAAAAAATACAATTTTTAGAGAATTTTATATTATTTGTGTTGCATATCTTGAATTCTAGCAATTGTACATTAATTGAATTCATATGCAAGTAGAAAAGCTATATGTATGTTGATTTATTACACAAGCGCCTTGTGCTTAAGCTCCAGAAGAATTTGGCGCCTTGAGCCTTTAACAACTACCATAGAAAGATTATACATCATTTCCCTTTTTCCTTTCCGCCGTGTCATTTCCGGACTAAACATCATAAAGGATTTTATAAACTTGGAACATCATCATCATTATGTTTTAAGTTGCCTCCATGCTCTTGTATGAGCTTTACTAATGACTTGTTTATTTTTTATATTCTGACACCCCCTCCCTAAACGAGAAAAAAGAGAAAAGAAGAAAAAGAGCGGACTTTTTACCCTTAAACACTTGAGCAATGGAAGCATTATTGATATGAATATCCTTTGTATTAAAAGGACGGATCATAGATTCTTTTCCTTTCCCTTCAACTTGAGGAAAGATAAATAAAACTTATTGGAGGTCAAATCCTTTCTGTAGTATTGAACTCGGTAAAGCTTTTTTCGAGCTGCTTCTTGCCACCTCATTGTACTCCTAAATATTTTGGGAATAAGGTTATTCAGCCTAACTAGCTTTTGCCCTGTGTCAACTCAAAAATTTCCGGCAGGTTTCATCTCAAATCCAAAAAACATCAGCACTCTCAAATATCAAATATGTAAATGAGTTTGCCGAGAGGCATTGTTTGAGTTGAATCCAGCTTTTCCTCAATTAGACCTAGTATTTTTAAGTAATCAGTTAATTTTATAATTGGTACATTTTAAGTAAGTAATTGTTTGAGTTGAATCCAGCTTTTCCTCAATCTAATTTGAGGAATCTATATTTTTTAGTTGATATATTCAGAAATTCCATTAAATAAGCCATCTTTATGAATTTTTTAGATTCGTAGTTTTACCAGCATGGCAGCATCTTTAGGACTCAAACGTAGAACAGTATTTTAATGCTAGACAGAATGATATTTAATTTTTATTCATGTTGAAATATTCATATTGTGGTAGTCATATTATGCTCCCAAAGACATTACAGTTATCATAAGCTATCAATTAAAAAATATATTTTTTGATAGACTAAACTCAAAGCTCAGTTGCTTGGTGAGAAGACTATTTAGGATCTAGACCTTTGTTTGTTGCCTCCATCTTCAGTGCCATCGTGAGCATAAAGGAAAATGTTTTGGGCCTGACACTTCCCGAATTAACCACCAGGGACTATTCAGCTTTGCTAGAATTTACAAACCCTATTTTCTTGTCAGCTTTACCTTGTATGTGCTGTGTTGTGATTATTGCTAGTATCCTTCCTTCCTCTTCTTCTTCTTCATTGAACATTACTTACTCTCAGGTTTCGTGGATTGCTTGCAGATGTCATTTCCGAATCCTGTGATGGGTGCTATGTTGTGTCGTTGCAGCCGGAAGACAATGTTTGGATAGACTAGTTTGAACATTTAATTCTCTGTTTGCCTATCCATTACTATAAGATTGGTATTAAGCTGTTCTATCATCCATCTACTTAATCATATCTTATATGTCTGATGAGTTCTATTTTCTACCTTTATGTTTACTCTTGGAGAGTGCTCATGGACATAAAAAAGGAAGTGAATGAATCCTTTTATATAGATGAAGAATCATGTTCTATACATATATATATATATCATCACTCTGCAAAACAAAATTTTCCAGAGAGAAGAACCAGACCCAACACCCCAACCAAACAGCGACTCAACTCCACTCATCCACAAACCCGCCTCACCACCAACCCCATCTCAGTCTCTCTCATCACCCTCCTCTTCATCTCTTTCTCTCACCTCATCCCACTAGACCCCAAAACCTGGTTCGTCACTCTCCCCACCACTCTCCGCCACCACTACTCCACCGATTGAACCATCAAGGTCCAGACCACCCCAAATCACCCCCCAATTGAAGTCTTTGGCATTCAAGATGGACACATCAAATCCAATAACATACTCATTGTACATGGGTTGGGTTGTAGTTCTTACTTTTTTCACAAAATTGTCAAGTATCTGGGCCTCAAAGGGCTCCACACCGTCGCTATCGATCTACAAGGTTCTGGGTTTTCCGATAAGTCCGACGATTGGTTTTTTTTTTTGTGACTGGTTGAAGTTGATTTGGATACGTTGTTGATGGGTTTTGATGTGTATGAGAGAGGAGAGAGATGGTTGTGGCAAGGACTATGGTGGGAGGAGGTGGCAGTGGTGACGACCATGGTGGGGAGGTGGGTGGAGGAGATGGGGTGAGGAGATGGTGGTGAGGGATGGATAGATTTTTATATATATATATATATAAAAAGTGCTACAGTAGAGAGTAATTTTCATGAACAGTGTAGAAAATTTCTCACTTTCCCTTCTCTTCACAAAATTAGAAAGTACTTTCGTAAAATAAAAAAGTGAAAGTATTTTATTAAACATGATTTTTACTTTTGATTCTCAATTTTAGGAATTGACAGTAGAAATCAAGAATTATTCCGGTTAGTAAAGAGGTCAATGTTTTATTTTATTTACTATCCTTTTATATGGTTTGTAATTTTGTAATGATTCAAAAGAGTAATGTTTATGATGAGGATGGTCATAGTGAGCTTACCCCTCATTACCGATCATTGCGTGATTAGACATCAAAAGTCATGCAATTAGTAAATAGGCCAATGTTTTGTTTTGTTTTGTTTACTGTCATTTTCTTTGGTTTGTAATTTTGTAATGATCCAAAAGAGTAATGTTTATGATGAGGATGGTCTTAGTGAGCTCACCCTTCATTACCGATCATTGCGGACAATATAGAATTAGCCCAACCCAAAAAAAAAGAAAAATTAGCCCACCCAAAATTAACCCAATATAGAATTAGCCCATCCAAATCAGCAACCCTGGATCCGCCCTTGGTGGACATCAAAAGTCATGCAATTAGTAAATAGGCCAATGTTTTGTTTTGTTTACTGTCCTTTTCTGTGATTTGTAATTTTTATTACCGATCGTTGCGTGCATGACATCAAAAGTCATGCAATTAGTAAACAGGCCAAAGTTTTTTTTTTTTTCCTAGTTGGTACTTACACACACTTGTCTCTTCTAAGACTTGAACCCTTGACCTCCTTTTAGGAGGTAAGAGACTGATACCGCTAGGCCACTGACCCGTTGATAACAGGCCAATGTTTTGTTTTGTTTATTGTCATTTTCTGTGGTTTGTAATTTTATAATGATCCAAAAGAGTAATGTTTATAATGAGAATGGTCTTAGTGAACCCACCCCTCAGTACCGATCATTGCGTGACTGGACATCAAAAGTCATGCAATTAGTAAACAGGCCAATGTTTTGTTTTGTTTTGTTTACTGTCATTTTCTGTGGTTTGTAATTTTGTAATGATCCAAAAGAGTAATGTTTATGACGAGGGTGGTCTTAGCGAGCTCACCCCTCATTACTGATCATTGCGTGACTAAACATCAAAAGTCATGCAATCAAACAATGATGAGAGCGCGAGTTCAGTAAGAGCGGTTTCATACAACATTAGCTCTTCTCCAAACAGGGTCTTAATAATTGCCTCTTCCAACCTTCTCACCAGCCGCAAATTATATGAAACTTTGTTGTATTACTAATATGAATTTCTTATTTTTGTGACTATTGTATTAGAGATTTTATATATGAAACTTGGTCGAAATTACTCCTATTAGGCAATTGGATTAGAGATTTGTTTTTTTTTTTTTTTTTTGGGTTCCTTCAACTTGGGGCTGAAAATGGTATTTGGCTTGCTGATCGTTGAAGAAGCTGCAACTCAGGCGCAGTGATATATGTAGATTACATTTTTGTTTTCAACTATGAGCACATCAAAATAAGGTCACATTTGATTTTAAATGAGATCACACTAAATAATCATTGAAAGTTAATTGTTATCTTTTGAAAAAATCACGAGATTTGTAACTAAAAAAGATGTTGAAATACAATAAACCGAAAAGGAATTGAAAGCAAAATTCAGAAATTATTGTTGAAGGCCCTCTCATGAAGAGGATAGTGATTATACAAGGTAACTTGTTTTAAATAGTAACTTAAATTGTTATCAAATGGGTTTATTTTCGGTTTCATTTTTCATAAAACAACCAAAAGGTCAACTAGTGTTTTATTATTTATTTATTTGTCTATTAATAACTTAAGTTTTTGTCATAGTATTGCATACAAATATTGATCTTTTTCTAATGATAAAATTTAGGTCAGAAAAAACATATATATAATATACATATAACCTTAAAATAACGACTACCAAACAGAATCAATGCTACAAGTATTTCTATCTTTTTTTCATGACAAATTTTTGAAGAATGAGATGTGCAAACTATTAGTCAATCACCACCATTGTCAGTTTTTTCCTTTTTTTTCCAAATCATCATCACATGGATTTTTTTTTTCTTTTTAAGGGGTGTATCAAAGGGTCACGCTTTAATGTGTACACCACATAAATTTATTTTCTCTTATTTTGTCCACTTTATTTTTAGAATTTCCCTCCTTTTTAGTTAGTAACTTTATCTACTAGTAAACTTGATTGTCCTAGTTAAAAAAGTCTTGGCTTCCATAAATTAATCGGTTGTCATCAAACTCAACATTCTCATTTTAAGTGAATATGTTGTTCTTGTTTGTTTTTTAACACCCAACACTCCTTGTCATATAATATAACTGGATGACCATCCTATAAGATTTTCCTTACAATATTTACCGCAGAAAAGAAGACTTTTCTTTTAACGTGTTTGGTAATTTGTTTTTAAAATTTTTATTACATAAGATACCACTGTCTCCATTTAGCCCTAACTATTTGTCACCATTTAGTCTAAACTATTCCAATCATGCTATTAATATCGTTTATCTTATTTCCCCATTCTTCCATTACTGATCCCCACTTTCTTTGTACACGACCCCGAAAAGATTAAACATGTACGAAAATTATGCAAATCAAAAGATGTTAGGAGGATGCATCGTGGCTCAAATTATAGAAAAAGACACACTCAGCTTCAAAGCCCTAGAAAGTTGATGCAGAACCAAAAAAATACCTAAAGCGCGAATATTTTTATTAAAAAAAAAAAAAAAAAAAGGTAAGAGAAATCAAGTTTGCTTACAAAATTATAATAAATAAAGAGAAATTAAACGAAAATCCAAAAATTATTGTTGAAGCAAGCAAAGAAATGAAGTGAAGAAACATTGGCTTATAACTAGGTAGGCTTTTAGAAACTAAAGGCTGAAACAATCTGAGAACATCAATAACAGATATCAAACACGATTCCTCTTCATCTACCTATTCGCGTTGCCTTGCAAGTGCCCACTTCCAACTAGTAGTATTCTTATATGCAGCAGCATTGAGAAATAGATTCATAGTTATTCCATACGTCACTTTCGGCTACTTATAACTTGCCAATATTCAACCAGTTCTGCATTGCCAGATATATGGATTTCAGGTCAATCCTGTAGTCGAATTACTCTGAGACTGCACCATGCATACGAGTGTCAAAAGTCTTTCAAGGTGCCGTCCCTGATGCTTTCTTTGTGATTCGCTTCAGATTCTTCGCACACTTGAGCAGAGTCCATCTCTTTTTCCAGCTATCCAGAGTATTTCCCACGGCTGGAACAGCTACTGCTTCTCGATCTACTTTCACAGTAGTACTCCTACTGTTCACAACCACGGCCGCTATATTTTCTTCTAGAAATGTGGTGTTTTCCTGGATGGAGTCTTTTTTTTTCTTCTTTTCGGAACATTTTCTTGGCCAAAGTCAGGATCCCAACGGCCTTGTTCTTCAATTTCTTCATCAGTGTGTGATTTACTTCTCTCACCATATCGACCTGGACTATCGGACTCACCTTTCTCATCCATTCTAACTGTTCTTTTAGATTTCAGATGCTTCTCAGGAAAGTGATCCTCATGAACCACTTCGTCCACGTTTCCATCAAGTCCATGTGATTTTATTCTCCGACTATATTGACCCGAACTAGACGTGTCATGCTTCCCATCTGACTTCAAACCCTCATCTGCAAAATCTCCATCACTTGCCTCTCCGTCAGAACAACCCCTTCTGCTTGAGTGGCTACGTTTGGGGTCTCCCCGTCGCTTAAATTTTTTTGGGTGAGATTCCCTACACTGAAATATATCTTTCAACAGTTTTTCTGGTTCTGCATGATTGTCGGTGTATCCTAAAACTTCGTTACTGTGCCTTCGGCGTTTCCTTGTTTTGGTACAGTGTCTATCCCTATTCCTGTCAGACCAATCTCCACTGGAATCACTATCATGAATTCTGTTATTTCTGATCCAATGTTCATCTGGAGATTCAGACACTTCGTTTTGGCGTCTCGATCTTTTCTCTTTGTGACTGCAGTGCATGTCACCATCTCTATTCTTATCCAACCAATCTCCACTGGAATCAGTAGTACGAGTTCGTTTCTCACCATACCCGTGATCATCCAGGATTTCAGACGTTTTCTTCTGGTGTCTTGTGCTCCTCCTTGTGCGATAATGGTGACTGTCGCCATCCCCATCTGACCAATCTCCATCAGAACAATTTTCACGACATCTGTTCTTCCCATCCCCACGTTCATCCTGGAATTTTAACACTTTGACATGATGTCTAGACCTCCGCCTTGTGCTATTATGGTGTTCATCTCCATCCCCGTCTCTATCCCACCCATCTACATCAGAATTGACATCACAATTTCTCTTCTTGCTATGGTGATTACTTATAGAATTTGCTTCCTCTTCACAATTTTTCTCATAAGGTATTTTCATTTGCTTTCTATCATCATTTCGGTGCCTCTGCCAGCGTGTTCTCCTTCGGATATCATTTTCCTCATGGTAGCTTCCACCAGAATTGCTATTTAAGGAATCAATTGCCCTCGGTCGAGATCTTCTGGAGTTATATCTGCTAAAAAAAAAACATGTTCACAAAACAGCAAAAACACCACGAGAAAGAAAAGAACTGAAACATACAGAAAGAAACAAAACAGATTCCACCCATCCAACATAAAAGAAGTGTAGTGTAGGGAATTCGAAGTCCACACCGAGTTGGACTACTAAAATCCATTGTACAAGATCATGTTGATCAAGCAAACATAAAAATACCAAAATTACATAACATATAGGAATTGGACACGTAGCATTCTTTTTCTCTCCTAACTTCTCGTTAAACATAAAGCTATAGTTCTAGAATGAGGGATGTTATAGACACAATGAATTAACAAGTACCAAGCAGCAACCTAATTGAATATGCAATATATGGATATATTTTTGTTGTAGCTTATGGGTATTATTAGTGTTTTTGAGAAGAATAGAAGGAGAATAAGAAACAGTCTTCGGCGATGTAGCCACCCAATTCTGGCAAAGAAACACCCGCGCAGTGGTCTTAATGGGTTCATCAACAGTGGCAAGGAAATCAGGAGACAGGAAAGTTGTTCAAAGCGTGATTGTTTTTTCCATTTTGAACGGCACCCAAGAAAGGTTCAGAAACATTATTGCAAATTCATCGGTTCAAATTTGGAAAGCATGGCCTCTTTCCACCAACCGTACCAGATCTAAGTATCTAACAATCACTTAATTTGTTCAGTTATCAAACAGCACCATATTCTGGTTTGTTTAAGGCACTCCTAAAAGCACTAATAAATGGACCACATCATATATGGATTCATATTACAGGTTCCAAGAAAAAAACAATAGCATATTTGGTATCAGCCTATCACCTAAGTAAATGCGCACCTGTCTTTGTCTGCTGGTACCACCTTGCTAGAGCCCCTCAGCTGACCTGCACTTTCTTGCTCCATTTGTTTGTCATACCCAGTTTCATCTGAATAGCCAAATAGTGCAGCCATCTCTCTCACCCAGTATTTTGGGGGCGGTTTATCCCAATCAGCCCATTCATAGTCTCCACCAGGATTGCGAAAACAGTGGATAAAATTGCATGCAGTTCCACGGGAACATGTCTGTTAAGAAGGATGTAAGTGGTAAGCTCATCAACAGGCTAAATGGCAAACATAAAAACTTAGCATCGCAGTTGTACCTTGAGCCTCGATTTCATATACTCCCCACATATTGCAACTTTCCATCGGGTCACACCAACAAACTCACATTTTACCTAGCAAGAAACAATACACAAATCATGCAATCAACCACCCAGGATTCAGTGTTAGAGAATAAACCCATAGACAGACAAATCAGCATTCGTAAATATCAACATGGGAACCCAAAATATATTTCATAATCTGGAGATCCCTATCTTGCGACTGGACACAAGTGTGATTAATATTTGTTAACAACCATTTACTCTAAAAGCTAAGCTATTAGAGAGGGTGTACTTTAATATTTAAATCCTTCAACACGGCCCCTCACGTGTGGCCTTCTTTTGGTCCAACACGTGTTTCAATTTTAGTTAGACGGTGATGTTTGAACACAGGACCTTGCTTGCTCTGATACTAAGTTAACAACCATCTACTCTAAAAGCTTAAGCTGTTAGAAAGGGTGTAATTTAATATTTAAATCCTTCAACAATATTAAAATCAATTACATGAGATTACAGGAGCAAACATGAGAACAATAAAGCATATATAGTTTTAAAACCTCATCCATGAAAATCCCATGATGGAAACGAATTTTATTTATATTAATAAATTTCTTCATTACTCAGAAAGAACGCACAAACTTTCAAAGCATCATTTTTTTTTTCCCTGGTCGTCATTGCTAGTGGAAGTAGTCATAGCAATTGTAAGTGCAACAACAATAAATATAGTGACAACAACAATGACATCAACAAAGATAACCATTATTTAAACAAAAAGAGAATGACAGCACATCTTCTGTGGAATTCATATGCAACACAACAAAGTTACACTGATCAAACCTATTGCAGGTCTGTGCCCACCCATCTGGTTAACAAAATCTCTTTCCTATGAGAGGATACTAATATGAGTGGGCCCTTGAGGGTGTACAAGACCCTACACCAGCCACTCTGTGATTTCAAGATAGTAATTGTGGTAGTTATAAATATTATTTTCCCCTCCTCTAAGCTTCAAACATGCACCATCACCACAAGAACAGATTAGCATCACATACAATTTTTTATTATTATTACAAAAATAGTCATATTTGATCAACTGTTATTTCACTAATTTTCTTTACTTCTGATTCTAACACTTATTTACAATTTTTTTTCTCCTGGGTAAGATTAAAAATTTTACAGATAAACAATAATGTACAAGAAACATCAAGGGCATACCATTGGGAGAACAACAGCCATAATGAACAGAGAAAGTAACAAGATCAACAACAAATCATAAAAAAAATAATAAATAAATAAATAAAGAAGCAGATCCTAATCATTTTATCATGTTTGCTAAGTTGTATATAGCTAGTTCAACATTTCACCATGTGAATCTAAGTCATAGACCTTGGTTTCTGGGTAAGATATGTTTGTTGGGTATGATCTAGGCCTAAGCTAATCTTTCATTGACTTGGTCAGACTACGACATTGATTTCAAGGCGTGTAAGTATTTACTTGTAACCAGCTTTGTCAAGAGAAGTATGTTGCATGCAAATATAGCACATAATAATTTAATAGAAACACAAGTAGGAACCATTAAGAAGTTATAATCTTCCAAGTAAGGTGCAAAATGTATAGAAGAAACAGAAGGCATTCAAAAGCTTGCTTAACCACTTTCCAAGTCCAATGACATGACTCTTCAATACCATGTACCACATAAGAAACCAAATATTTAATGGCACATTTAATGAAAGTTTTCAGGAACGAGGAAAAAATAAATAAAATGATCCTATACAACGCCAAAGACAACATAGGAAAAATAAATAATCAAATAGAGTAATGTCTGCCACCAAACCAAGGGATGTAGCCTAGTGGTACTTCCTCGCCTTCCAAAGTAGAAGGTCAAGGGTTCGAGTCCCCATAGGGGGATAGTGGGTGTGTGAGTTTCTTGCCAAGGTAAAAAAAAACAATGTCTGCCACCAAAACATAAGACTGAAATACCATTAGATACAAGGAAACTAACTTTTGATGACTCTGACACAAGATGTGTTGTTTTATTTACTTGACATCTAATAAAATTTCCCAACTAATTTGAAATGAAGATATGAAATCATCACAAAAACATCTCAAACAAATAATACCCAATAATTTGTGTGAACCAACTTGCTTTGGGGTATTAGCACTGGATGGCCAAATAAATAATTCATGTAGCACAAATAATACTTCCCATTAGAATTTAAATATATATATATAGTCATTACCTTACAAAATGAATCCAAGTCATAAGAGATGTATTGTTAGCAGAAGGAACAATAATGTGATAGAATAAACTTTGGATGTGGCATGTGAACAAGATTGCAAAAGTTTATATTAATAAATAAGGGAGGAAAACTTTTCTTTATCAATTCTAAGATAAACAAGTGCTCTATCTGATTGGAGGGATGAATGAATAATACACGATCCATTTCATTGTCAAAGTAGCAGTCATCTGATGTATACCACCTTTAGTCATTCCCATCTAAACTTATAAAAGTTCCTTCAGTTTACATGTTAAAAATAAAAAATAAACAATACATCTACAAGTCATTGAAGTTTCAAACAAAAATTTCTTGACAGCTGGTTTGGGATGAGAACACCCAATTTTGCTACCAAACCAGATCCAAGATGGAGCAAGAATGCAAGATTATAAAACAAAGCACAATCAATTGGATGACCTCATTTATAAGGGTACCAGTATGGTCATCATAAGGTGGACAACAAGCCAACGAGATTAGGTGATTGGGTTTCTAATTTCACATTATAAGTCAGTTTTAGTTCCACTTAGATAGCTGTTCTCAGAATTGGACCATGATTAGCAGCACGAGCCTTTACAATTGAACCATTTAACGGCCCCTACCTAAATGAGGACCCGAATTCTTTTTTTTCCCTTTTTCTCCACAAGTCGAGTTCTAGGAAGGGGACATTGCTTGGTGAAATGGTATAATTCGAATTGCCAGTTTGCACAAAAATAAGGCCAAAGGTTAGAATCCACCCATCCAGGCACTCCCCGTGAAGAAGACCAACATCAGGTAATGGGTTTTTAAGTGGTATTCAAAGACTAAAAGTACAAGAAAATGAAACAACAAGAGGAGCACACGAGTCTCACAGTCAAGTTCTCGTGCAAGAAACTCTTAGCTACGAGCTAAAATATCTGCGGGAGTAGAATACTAATACAAATTCATACTTTGCCAGCGCACGATCAATTTTATATATATAAAAAATAAAAAAATATAAAAAACTGAATAAGGAAAAAAATACCTGTTTACCAGCAAAATAGCGACCGTTTATAGAATGATGAGCAAACACAGCTGAATCCAGAGACTTGTAGTGTACATACACATTCCCCCGCAGGTGGAACGAACCATTTCTGCAAACCTGACATGAAATTTGTTTTTTATATTCTTCAATAATAGGAACAGATTTAAGCACAAATTATTGTTTTATTTCCCTTGCAACATACTTTTTTCTTCCACCCAAAACTCAATTTCTGTCTCAATTATACAGCATGAATAAATAGTATAATATCTAGAGGAAGTAAATAATAGCATACATAATACAAACACAACTTGTAGCAATTAAAACAAGCAATTAACTTTTATGAATAAAAACCATAAAATACAACTATGACCGATTTTATAAGCAATCAAGAAACAGCAATATTTTCGATGTTACACAAGAAACATAATTCATATTCAAAGACTAATAAAAATTTACATTGTTGAAAAAGTAAAATCATATAATAAGCAACAGAAATTGTATAAAGTTATTAGACAATGCAGTGGAAGAAAATTACAGAATTAAGTGAGTGCATATGCCATAGATTAAATAGCTATTATTGAAGCATAGATAGCAGTTAACACCTTGAAATTTACAATTTCCCCAAATTTCAAGAATTCTGTATGCACATCCTCGTAAAACTCTTCATAACAACGTTCAACCTCTTCATCAGTATACTGAAAAGGATAGAGAAATCAAAGCATGGTCAATATGTCAAAAAAATAAGTGCAAGTTATAAGAAAATTTGAGCAAGAAGTAAAGTCCTACATGCTCACAACACTAATGTGAACACATTAAGGAATGAAAAGGTCAATCAAAACAAGTTACTCTATATAATTATTTTAAATGCATAAATACCAATCAGCAATTCCACGCTCACAAACACAAACTCCAAAGCAATCATCCAGAATCAAATGAAGTTTTCCACTGTAACTCAAATCACTAGCCAAGGTCCCAAAGTTCTGTAAGAAGAATAAGTCTGTATGGTGATAATCTAGAGCCATCAGTCAAGTAAATCGATTTCTGACTGGGCTCCAGATCTATGGAAGAAGAGAACAGAAAGTTGTGTCATGAAACTTTAACAACAATTTATATATATATATATATATATATATATAAATACGGGCTGTAAATGGATACCCTAAGCCAATTTGGGGGTGTGGGGGTAATAAATATTGAGTTATAAATGTGTGTTGGAGAAGCATGCAGCCATAGATAAATGAAAGCCTAAATTGGAAGAATTCAGGAGAATCTTCCAAGAAGGCACGAGACAGCTGAGGATTTAAATGGATAGGGAGATTTATTGTCAGTTTTTACATCAAAGAACCAAAACACAAACTCTGGTTCTATTTATTGTTACCAATGTGTCACCACGGACAATGCATCAAGTTAATCAAGCCTTCTGATAGGGATTAAATCTCATTAAAAATAAGTAGCATGCCCTCCATAATGTGGTAACTCCCAGTAACTTCAATATTAATTTCTCATAGTATAGGCAAGCAGGGACAAGGAGATCAGAACCAAAGCATGTCTGCCACCAATGGGCCTTACCATCTAAGGCAGCCGAAATCTTTACAACAACTGAGATATTACTCCATATTGCCTTTACTATATTCCCAAAAAATGGTCGTCAATGGAAATATGACGATAAAGTAAAACATGAGGTTTGGAGTGTGGCTAGGGTAGATAAATGAAACGTGTACGAAACGTGAGTTTGCAAGCTGAAAGAGATAATTTTATGGACAAAAGAGCCATTCAAAATAACCCTATGTCACACATATTGAATAAACTCAACATACCAAATTTAAACACCATTATTAGTCCATGGAAGATCAATGATAATTGCTGAAGGATATAAATAAAAAGGGGCTAAAATCTCACTCATGGTCACACTACATCATTTTACTCGATTGGACCATAGAAGCTAGATTTGATATTGAGTTGGAGCAGCCAGATGTGTAAACATACTTATGCGGTATATGAATAACTGAACCTAGAATTTCCCAATGGCAAGTTAGGAAAACTATGTTCACTAGCTATCGTTTAAAGTAAAGCAATTTCTAGAGCACTATATAGGTGTTTTAGTTGTTTTATGTCAAGGATTAACTTTAACTAGTGTGTGTGTTAGAAACCTTGAGGATAGTTCCTTTCCTGCAAGGAGCAATTGACGCATCATATTGGTAGAGTGTAAGTGAAAAGTTTGGAATCAGGTTTCATAAAGCAACAGAGAAGCTCCTCAGTATGGAAAGCCATTTTGTAAATAACATAGATAAGTTGCAGGTGACATGGAAGAGAGATGTCAAAGAAGGTATTGGAGAGAATGTCGGAAAAAAGTTCATAAAAAAGGGATGAAACTTCATTATGATACAAAAGAACAAGTAAGGCATTTTTTAAATAATAATTAAAAAAAAAAAAAGAACAAACTCTGGATATATGAGTATCATATGGATGTATGGCAGTATTTATATTGTTTTAAAAAAATTTACAACAATGACTCATCATAGTCATCATCATCCTTCCCTTTATCCCATATGGATGGGGTCAGCCACATGAATTTTCTTTTTCAACTCTTTTCTATTACAAGTCATGTCTACTATTATATCTAATTTATTAAAATCATTTCTAATTAATTCATCCCATGAAAGCTTTTGTCTCTCTTTGTCTACTACCTGCCATGCAAACAAATATTCTTTTTCTTATCCGTGTATCCATGTGTCTACATTGCATATGACCATACCACCAAAGTCTGCTTTTTCTTATTTTAGCACCATTCCTAGTTTCTTCACATGTTGATTATTAATCTTATTTTTCCTAATCACTCCTACCATCCATTTTAGCATCTCATTTCAGCTACATGAATGTGATACTCTTGTTTCTTTTTAAAACCCAACATTCTGCTTCATATAATATAGTTGGCCTAATAATTTTTCTTCGAACGTATCTTATATTTTTTAATCACATAGGATACAACTAAGTTGTCTCCATTTTGTCCATCATGCTCCAATCATACTTATTGCATCTCTCTATCTTTTTGTATTATTGACCCAAAGCATCAAAAATGATTATTTTAAGTAAACTGTTGGTCTTGAATTATTATAGTTATATTGTCATCCCCTATTATCCTATTTAACTTGATCCATATATTTTGTTTGTCCTAATCTTTAGGCTTTTTACTTCTAAAGCATTTTTGCATTTTTTCTAATTTTGTTGCCAACTCTTCCATATAAAAGTATCCAATAGAACTCTGTCATTAGCAAACAATATGTACAATTGAATGTCTTCTTGGATACATTTCATCTAAAACTACTGTAAATAAATATGAACTTAACATTGATCCTTTGTGTAATCCTACTTTTATAGAGAAATCACTAGTTTATCTGCATACAGTAATACAAACTCTAGTCCTCATCACACTGTACATATCCTAAACAAGATTTATAAGCTTTATAGGGACATATTTTCTCTGTAAATCCAACCAAATTACATCCCTTGGCACTTTATCATGTCTCTTCTCCAAGTCTATCACTCTATCAAAACTATATCTAGAACTTTTTGTTTTTTTTCACTCTTCGACTAATTATCTAAATAAATAGATGGCCTCCATAGTGGATCCACTTGGGATAAATTCACACTGATTATCAGATATTGAGCTTTATTTTCTTAATTTGTTCCATCTCTTACCCATAATTTCATTATATGAATCATTAATTTAATTCCTCTATAGTTTCCACAATTTTGTATATCTTCATTTTAAAATTTGGTACTGCAATATTTTTCCTCCATTTCATTGGCATTTTTTCTTCTTCAGAATTTTGTTAAATAACTTAGTTCACCACTAAAAAAAAAAAAAACTAATGCAAAAGTCTCCCGCCATTACAGGGTTGTACGCATTCAATTCCAATATTGCCTAAAATTCTCCATGTCTCTGTAGGTTATCTTATTTATTTAATTTTATAATTACGGACTATAATCAAACGTATCAGGAAATGAAATCATGTTTTATAAACATACTATAACGATCACAAGCACATGATGTACATATATATATAATAATAATCATAATAAATAAATAAACAAATATATAAATAAAATCATATGCGTGGAAGGCATTTTATATATTTACAGTGAACCAATGAAACTGGCTCAAACGCAAAAGAGGCACTTTGCCACTTATTTGAGTTGTAATCAAATTCTCAACTCAACTAATAAAATATATATGTATATTTCTAGTCATGACTACTAAACTATAATTTACCATCCAATACTAAAAGTTAAAAGAAACTCTAGAAACATAGATACAAAATCAATGTCCTCTCTCGCTCTCTCTCTCCCTATATATATACATATACAAAAGGAAAGATTACTATAAACATCCCGCTTCTTGATGAGCACAAGGCAGTTGAGGTTGGTCCATTCTGAATCAGGTCACTTTAATGACAAGACTTAGAGCGGGTTTAGCTTGTTCGTATATGAACAACCATGTCTAAGCTGTCATGAAGCTAGGTTCATCTGCAGCCCTAACCCCATTTGTTGAATCGTTAGACGTGCCTTCACATGGTTATTGGCTTATAGCAAGACTCGCTGCAGTTACGCCTAGCAGGCAATCCTCTCTTGCCTCACCAAAGCACAACCTCCCTATAGCCTCCTAAAATTACAGTTCCTGATGCCACGTCGCATAAGAATAAACGACTTCAACCTATAACCAATCATATCCTGATGTTTATCTACTTTAAGCAAGTAGTATGCAGTATGTAACCACAAACAAGTAGGTGTGGTTGCTAGCAAGCTCAAACCTTTGGAAGCAGCAACATCTATCAGCAGGAGATCAGCAATTATCCAAGATTTATGTATTGCCCAAACACTAGTAGTTGTTAAGGAGGTAGAATTTTTTGGTTAAACAGAAGAAGAAAGAAGAAAGAAGAAAGAAGGAAAGAAAGAAAGAAAGAAAAATAAAAAATAAATAACAATCAAAAACTGCCAGCAATAAATATATCTCAATACATGCAGCCAAAATTTCAAGTAATCATAAAATATGTTAAGATGATATATCATTAGAAAAAATTAGTTCGTCAACGTAATTACTATAGAATAAAATTTACCAATAAGTGATAACTTACAATTATTTATGGAATGATAATTATGAAGTTCAGATGAAAATTTAATAGAGATAACCATTCCAAAGTTGCAGCAAGTAGGATACAGAATTGCCTAATTCTTTTATCTGCAACCCAACAAAGGCCAAAATCATGGAGCTCCGTCGAAGTGCATTGAGATTATATTCTGATTTAAATCAAGTCAAAGAATGATAACCTTACTATCCATGTACCAGATCAGAATACAATCTTATAGAATTACACATTACATGCATTTGAATACAAAACAAATTTGATGGACAAGCTGCACATGAGTATATTGTGACTAAAGAAAATTTATCAAATTGCAAGTATCAGCATTGGTAATATTACAGTTCACTCTAAATAAGCTTGTAAAAGAGGTACAAAATAGTTCCGCACTTTGCAATCTCTTGGCAAGACAAGTAACATTAATCCAGCAAGTCAAAATCATTTGGATGTATGTAACTTAGTGTGCTATAAGCACAACCATGAGATAGCAGGCTAACTTGTTAGGCAAGCGCACACACCAGATTACATATATATATAATTGTTAGGCAATATATATATTCTGGTGTGTGCGCTTGCCTAACAATTATATATATATATATACATCTAAGAAAGATATCCTAGATGAAGGATCTTTCAGTTCCTAGCTTTCCCAGTCTGCTTCAGATACATAAAAGAGGTATGAAACATTAGTTTTGGAATCGTTTCAGGCAAGTGCATATTCCACGCTCTTCGTTTATTTTATTTATTGGACAAAAGACTTTTACTTATCAATCAATAAGCATCATGAAGGTGGGTAGCGGGCCGACCATAATCCATATTTAGAACAAAGCAGAGCCCGAATTCACCCAGTCAATGGGCTAGGGTCGACTAAAGTGAACAACAGTAGGAGAACTACTGACACAGGTTCATAGGTAGAATCAAGCCAGATAGTGGGCTGAACATGAAAACCAATACTGCTTCAATTGTTGACTGAAAAGTCCTTTTAATTAACGGCTATAAAGAAAATCATAAAAAAATAAAAATTGAGAAGGACAAAGAAAACATTAACCCCTTTATAAGTTGATAATATTGTGTATATATAAACAAAACCTTCTCAATAAATTGATGCCATATTGTATAGCTTGCTTCTTTTTTTAAGTAAAATGATATTAAGAATAAAAAAGAAAAAAAAAAAATGAATCAGGAACCCCGAACAATAGCAGTTTATGAAGAAAACAACTGGGACACAGAAAGAGGGGGGGGCGGGGGGGGGAGAATATTGAGTACACAGAGAAAAAGACATGAATATTGAGTCACAATTTAAACATGTAAAATACCAACTTGTAAAAACGAGAAGTATGTGTATAAATTGATTGCTTGTCTTGATATGTACATCTATAACTCTAGCTTCGTCAAACCATCAAACTAAGATTATACGGAGTAACAAAGATCTAGATGTGGAACCCATAAAGAAGAACCCTTCAAAGTATGAAAAAACCCTAGTCATGGATTGCTTTCTTTTATATGTAAATCACTTTACCAATTCAGTTAGAAAAGTATAAAATTGCCAAAATGTTCATCAGGATACTAGAATCACATGAAGACTTCTTTACAGACCTCAAGCCCCTCATCCTGCTCCCAGGCAAGGCCGGGTCCACTGTACATGTTCTTGATAAGCAATGTGCAAGATTTATCTGGGTAAAAATGAACTCTGCTACAACGCACCCCAAACCGACAAGCTCCTGTTTTGATGTGGAAAGGACAATGAGCTTTATCCTGCCATATAAACAATTGAATGATCAGATACGGCGACCCTCCACAGTTAAAATGGCAGGCAATTGCTGAACACAGGAAGTGCAATAACCATCATTGCCATGAATGAATAATGTGAGATGGAAATAACAGGCAGGGTTTACCTGTTCAGTTCCAAAATTTGGGATTTGTTGAGCGGCATTATCCAACAACTGTTGTGCCGAAACAGTGGATGCACTTTTGTAATCAGCAAAGGCTTCGGATTGTGGAGGAAGAGGATTTGATGTAGGTCTATCCAGATCCTGCAGGAGTATAAAATCACCTTTAAAGTTCATGTTTTTGACACAACTAAAAGAGCATGGTATACATCTTATTGTAATCTAGAAAATAACTAAGCCTGGAATTTCTATGATGCTGCAAATACCTCTTTCTTTGTCCGTTGGTCTACATCTTTCTTTTTGACCTTCACTCTATTCTTCTTGACAATTATCTCGTTTCCTTGCCATATAATTTCAGGAGGCCGCTCTTCTACATATTCCCAGTCTTCATCTTCTTTTAACTCATTCTGATGTTCAACCTGTCAAGCATTTTTACAGAAGTGTAAGCAAAGCCGTTTAAATAGTGTTTATAGTTTACACCTATAAGGTCCCATTCCCATATACAAAAAGCAAACTACAGGGCATTGAATTAGAATGGAAAGCCATTAAATGCCAAGGGCATATTATAACTGATTCCACGCTTTTTTTTCCCAGAATGTAGGCACCATATGAAACTACAAGTATGTTATCATGGAAGCAGCATGTATTTCTAATAATTGTTGGGTTATGCATCTAATTTATGATATGGAGTTAGATCTAACTGATGATTTAGGTATATATGTACAATGCAAAAGTTTCCTGATGTCCCAGGTGGTAGCTTTATCAAGCACGGAGCTGACAGAGTTCCCACGTCTAGAGTCAGAAAGAAAGTAGCCTCCTTAAATAACTTAAAATTACCATCAGTGAAAAACAATCTCTAACGTCTATGAATACCCATTTTGCTTTTCATACTAGTTATATATGGTAAAATAGATGCCAAATTAATACGACAGGTACCCATCCAATTATGTATATGGGCACATATCACCAGCCGTTCAGCACATTTTGCATACTATATAGCACCAAGATAGCCTAACTCAAACACAACATTCTATGTCATTTTAAAGCAAAGGCGGTTCATGGAAAGATAAAAAAAAAAAAAAAGTGAACGAATGTAACACAACCTGCTACACAAAATGTAAAATAATATACGGCTAAATTCAATTAGCATTGAATTGACAATTGTATGTGCGTGTGTATATATATATTGGCCATAAACATGCATAAATACAGAGAGACTGATATTGAACTAAATGAACCTGATTTTGATTTAATTCTTCTTCCAAAGCCTTCCTACGATCTCCCTCCTCCTCCTCTTCCGCTTTTTTTCTCGCTAATGCCTCGAGAAACTGCCTCTCGTGCTCCTCAAACTCCTTCCTATCTCTCTCTAACCTCTCGCTTTCTCTCTCCTCCTCCAACTGAATCCTCCGCTGCTCCTCTGGATCGTTCAGCCGAGCCGCCTCCTCTTCCAGCTCCTTCGCCGCCAATTCCTTCCTCTTCTGCTTCCTCTTCTCCTTCTTCGCCGCCTTCCTCTTCTCCTTCCGACTCATCCCACCACCCTCCGACACCCCAACTACCGACTGAGGATTCACTCGCGCACACCCCGACGCTCCTCCCTCTTCTTCTCCGGCGACCGGCTCCGACATACGATCAGCTGCCGGAATCAACGGGCTATATATACAGAGTTTGTGTATCTCTATATGCAGGTGTGAAGTATGAACAAAGAGATTAGGGCTTGAGTTGTCCGATCATATCGTCTGAACGAAATACTCCTATATGGTATATTTTTGAGCGATTAAATATGAGATCGAACTTTGGATAACTATAAATTACATGTCCCAAATGAAAGTTTTTTTTTTTTTTTTTTTTTTGGGTAAATGGCAATAGCTTATCGTTACAGTTACTGTTACGGTTAGTATCAGAAATAAAGATAAACACAGTACTTAATCAAGTGTCAACACAGTACTTAATCAAGTGTCACGACAAGCATCCAACTTAAAGGAGCGTTCTTTCACCCCGACAAGTAGGATGGTCCAACTCGAATGAGGGCGTTGCATGAATTTGAATAGAGAAAAATGTTATAAGAGAAGACTTATTTCACAACTTGGGATAACAATTTGACTTGCCCCTACGATTACCCACCCTGCCCCGTCCCGTTTTTTTGCAATTTTGGAGAATTGTTTAGCTTTTTTGGACGGGATGGCTTGATATAATAAAAATCCATGCAGGTTTGGTGCGGGGCGGGGGAGGTTGCCTCGCCCCACCCCATCCCACTCCACCCGTTTAGATAGACAAATTACTTAAGTACTCTTATTTCATTAGTATATATATTTTCCATTAGAACCCTATGTTTTATTTATTTATTTTTGTGTTTAAGGGTAAGTTAGAAACCATATGGGTATGTTATATATTAATAAAGTAACAAATGAATTTGATTAGAAGGAAAGTTGCAATAGTGAAGAACTTAAGATGAGGGGAAAAAAAAAAAAAAAAAAAAAAAAAGCAAATCTATTTTAATAATAAATAAATTATGGTCTTAAATGGGGCGGGCCGGTTACTCGCGCGGTAAAAATGTTAAATGGGGGTCGGGATGGAATGGAAAGTCCTCCCGTTTTTGCGGTTTTGGACGGGGAGGGTACACCCACCCTCCTAGCCATCCCTATTCACATCAGATTCGAATAAAAAATGACATAGGTAAATATGTGGATATGCAATACTATTCACCTAACTTAAATTTTTTTGTAAATGAGCAAGCTCACTTGTTACATTCAATACTAACTGTCACATGGCTCAGTTAATAATAAACTGTCACACATGCAAAAAAATTATGTAAGAAGAATTCTTATTTTATTTTTTTTGTTTAATAATAAATATAAATCTATGTAAGAAAAACAAAATTTCCAAAAATATAAGAATTGAATGATGTTTATAATATTATTATTTGGTTGGACTAATTTAAAATTTAATAATATTATTTTATATATATATATATATATTTAAAATGGTGGTAGTGTGGGTGGTGGGGTTGGGGAAGCCAATCGACACTCGTGGAAGATGGTGGTGGTAATGATGTAGGTGGTGAAAGCGACAGTGCATGGTGGAGAAAGAAGGGAAGAAATGATAGCGATTTTTGGACTTAAAATTTGAGATTTTTTGAACGTTATTACAAAAATAAATAAATAAATAAATGAGTAGAACCAACGCTTTATTCTATTCTATGTCTTGGAACCAAACACGCAACGTTCTTTTATGCAGCAATTAGTCAAGTAATGACCCAATCTTTTGGGTCCAGAATATTAATTGGGCTAGTTTTTTGTATATACCTTGGCCCATGACAAGATATTTACCAGCTCTGGACTCATTGCCCAAGGTCCGTTTGAACAAATAAGGTGGCAACTTGAAGTGAAGTGGAGCAGGAAAGAGTAAAAATAAAAAATATTAAATATATATTTTTATATTCTAAATTAGATTTTAATTGGTTTGATATTCTAACATACTTTAATTTCGACATGTGCCATGTATAACGTCTTATGTTTTACACAATCCGTCTGAATTCTGAAACAAAAAACAAGGCGAAGGTTGAGTTAGGTAATAGCGAGAGCTTGAACCGTTTATTAACAAAAAAAATTAGTATAAAAATATACGATAACATGTTATTTAATCTTAGTACAGTTAATCGAAAAAAGACTTTATTAAATAAATATTCACTATTAATATTTAAAAATTATCTTTCAAAATTTTTTAAAATATTACAAATGTAAGTGTTGTCGGAATGATTGAGTTGCTTCCCGTGTCTAGAAATTCAAGCCCGTAAATATTGTTTTAAAGAATTAATAAATTACTTAGTTAAAAAATAACTTTTTTTTTTTCATGCAATATATTAATAAAAAAAAAAGAAATTACTTAAACAATTTAAAATTTTCTACTTGAGATTTTTAGTTAAATAATTAATTTAAAATTTTAAAAATAAATTTATACAAATCAAATAAATAATATGTAATCAAATTAGTATGCATTTTTTATTATTATTTATTTTAATAAAAATTAAGTTAAGTGTAATCTAATAAGAAAGAATATTATGACAGTTTAATAAAAATTAGTGTTGGGATAAAATGTTATACTTCAAGTACTATTTATTTTTTATTTTAACACTTTACTCCAAATTTGAAATCTGAGTCTCTTTCCAGTCGGGAGCAATATTATCTCTTTCCTTCCCATACAAGGACAAGGACAAATACTTTTTAGTTAAGGATATGCAATAAAATTAGTATGCATTTTTTTATTATTTATTTTAATAAAAATTAAATTAAGCGTAATCAAATAAAAATTAAATTAAATTAAGTCGAAAAAAATTAAATTAAATTAAGTCAAAAAAAATTAAATTAAGTGTAATCAAATAAAAATTAAATTAAATTAAATTAAGTCGGGAGCAAGATTATCTCTTTTCTTCCTAAATATATACGGAGTAAATCTGTAAATGTGTGTGTGAATATATTGTTGGAGTGGGGAGCAAGATTACATTACATACGCGAGAGTCCTCCCTCCCTACCTTATGGCATAATGCTTACCTAAATTTTGAAACACTTCAATGTGCCACTTGATTCTGAAATTAAGAAAAGAGATGTTATTGATGATGACCGTCTTAGTGTCACCCTCTTAAAGAAAATGGATGCCAACAAAGATAGTGGGGAATGGATTTGGAACTCTGCTCACCCTCCTGCACCTTCCTCCACTCAAAATCAACCATCCTTCTCCTTTCAACAGGATGCCACTTTTGGCATGGATAACTATAATGATCTTTTTCCTCCCTCCAACACCCTCTTCCCATCCCAGCCACTGATCTAATCATTGAACTGTTAAAATCTCAACGTACTAAAACCACTGCTCGAATGGACCAAATTCAAGCAACTATTGAGTCCCTATTAAATAGGGTTACTGCTCTTGAGCAAAGAGTAGGTGCAGCAGGTACTTCCATCACAGAGAGCAATGATCAACAAGTTGTTGACCTCCAAATTGTCAAGGAAAGGGCCAACAATGTCTACGAGCTAATTGATAGGTGCACGACAGTCAACAACATTCAGTTCGAGCAAATGAAGGATATGCTCAAAGCAATAGCTGACAAGTTCCAGCCCTTCCCTTCCAGAAATCTCTCTAATGTAGGCCAAAAAGGTTGACACTTATCTCTTTATCTAATCACTTTTGGCATTATGTAAGGCTCTCAGGTAAGCTATCTCCATTATATTGTATTGTATATCTTCCCTTTTAATGATGTAAACAAGGGAGAGAAAAATACATATATATTTTTGCTATAAAGGTGATGCATGAATTAAGAGGGAGCTTTTATTAAATATATGTATTCTTAAATCATGCTTATATGCTTAAACTGATTTATTGTTTGTCATCATCAAAAGGGAGAGATTGTTGGCACATGTGGCCTTAAACCACCTCTTATTATTTTAATGATAACAAATAAAGATAATAAGTGCTTTTAACATATCCCTATTTGAGATGCAGTTAAGAAGGAGCACAAGCACAAATAAAGAACAAAGGCTTGGATTCATCAAAGAAGGGATGACAAATGGAAAGCCTCTCTTCCATCCACAGGGGTAGCTTAGAAATGGTGAGAGGAGATTAAATGTAAGGCAAATAGATTATAGCACTTTGGTTTAAAGCTTGAAATGCATTTCATTCATCATACAAACCCTAACTTGTCACTTAAACTGGCCGAACAGTTGCTCAATATAACCGATCAAATAGCCTTATTAAAATGACAAAGTTTATATGATGTGACTGATCACTTCAGGTATATAACCGATCAGATGATCTCAAGTGATCGAACAGATCACTTCATATTAACAATAAGATGCTTATAACAGTGAGTTTTGAAGGTTTCAAAAATTATCATATAACCAATCACTTTGCTCATATAACCGATCAGATGATTACATGTGAATGAACAGATCACTCCATATTAACGATAAGATGGAGAAAACAGTAAGTTTGGAAAAACTGAAAGTTTTTATATGATCGATCAGATCATTGATATAATCGATCAGATGGGTGCAAATCTTAAAAGTGCGGGGAAATATGATCTCATCCTATAGATCACATTGTCAATCTTACCGGTCAGTTACTTTAAATGTCCGAACAAATAAAGCATGTGTTCGATCACTTGACCTCAAATGACCGCGCAGATGGACCATATGTTTGATCAGATGGGCAAAAAATTTAGGATAATTTTTTGCTGAAACAATATTTTTGTCAAGTTTTGAAACCTAATTCAATGTTTTTTAAACCTCTATATAATATCTTCAAAGGTTTTCATATTAAACGTGCAATATATATCAGAGAGAAAAACCTTGTGATTGAAAAAGGAACTTACATAGATCATTGTTTCATACACATCATTTGAGCTTTAACCTTTGTGTTATATTCTATATTTGCCATAGGTTTGTGAGCCTTGATCTGCGCATCAAATCTAAGAGTTTTCTCTTACCATTATTTTAAAATATCTTTGAAAGGGTTGGAGTAAACCAGCAGAAGTCTAAAAGAGGATTGTTCTCTTAGCAAGAAGATTTAGAAGCGGTGTGCTTCTTGCACCGGTTTGTTCTCCACCTTTAAGGAGAAGCCTTATTGGGTTTTTGGGAAGTCTTAAGAGGGATCTTCAGCCGAGGAGTAGGAGTTTCAGAACCTCGCCAAAGCTTGGTGTTTTGAGTTTGTTTTTTTTTCTCTCTACCCTTTTACTTTATTATTCAAATATTATTACATATACTGCTTATCTATTGACATGCTTTCAAATAAATTCAT